TCTCCCCATCGATCCCAGCCGGCCCCTCTCCCCCGCCATAGCAGTCACAGAGGCAATGCTGCGCGGCCGCTATATGATCGCCAATTTCCACATCGGCCGTCCGTACCTGTACAAGGCGCTCCGGATCCCGCAACACCTAACAGACCACGACCTCGCGCAAATGCGCAGCGGCCTCCGCCACGCAATGGACTGGCCCCCCGTCGGCGGCATCTTCCGCAAAATGAAGAGCTGCATCCCGATCAAGTTCGCTTTCTGTTCCCAGTGAGCTTACCCCCACCCCCTACCTCGTCTTGTCATGAACCGCACTGCACATACTGACGCAACGCAACGCCATCAGATTCTTTGGCCAAGTCCTCCTCTTCTACTGTATCTCCCACCACCCCGATCCGCGCCTCCGCAAGGCCCTCCCCGTCGGCTGGGAACGGTGGACCGACGAGATGCTGCGGTTCCTGGAGGATTGCGCGCCGTTTAGTCCCGCTGTGGCGAAGGATCTGGAACTCTTGCGATTGTTACGATGAGTACGTTGGTATGCATGTCCATATGCATATATACGGCTTCTGTCACGCTTGATGCTTTTGGGGCATGATTCTGGAAAAAGATCGAATCTCGTGTCTTGTCTTGTTTCGCTTTGTTTGAGATATCCTAACGCTTGTATGATAGTTTTGCCCTAGACTCATTGGACCTTGACGGTCGTTCTTGTCTATGAGTGTGACAGACATAATCTGTATTTCGCAGATGGCGAGTACGTAATAGGCTACGTGATACATCATCTTCGACCCTTCTACGAGTTATGAACACACCAGTATACCGTCTCAAATACAAATACAGATGAAATTTTCACTGTAACTATACATCATGCTGAACGCTCAATCCAAGAATATGCAACCAAAGGGGAATCAATCGGCATTCGCCGAGGAAGAAGAAAGTACAAGAAAAGAAAACAAGGATTCAGGGGCTCGAATCCTAGGCTGTCTCGAGATGATCACAGAGCCCATTCATCGGCGTCGGCACCAGTGACGAACGGCTTGTCAATTTGTTTGATCGCATGGTCACCGCAGAGGATACTGTAAGACGAATTAGTTGCGACTTCGTCCCATTTGACCAAGAAAGACAAAGAAAGAGGACTTACCACGCCTCGGCAACCAACCCGTCTAATTCCTTCACGATCTCCTCCCTTCGAGAAGATGATATGTCCCCCTTATTCAGCTGCGCTTGCAGATCACGAATGTACTTCTTCTTCCCGCCTGCGCCTTCGAGTACTTCCTTGCCCAAACAGTCGCTGTGGAATGCGTGTTGGCACGGAAAGACGAAGAACTGCCGGCTAAGCAGTGGTAAAGAGCAAGTCCAGCATTTCTCCCCAGGCTCCACGATGGCATACCGCATATCCAATGCCGCAATCTCTGATCGGATCTGTCGTGCAGTCTGAGCCGAATTGTCCATCTCCTGGCGCAATGCATCAATGTGCCGCGAGTAGTCCTCCAGAGCACTGCAAATCTCGTCTTTAAAGTCGTCAATAACGACAAAGTCAGGGAAGAATGGAATCAGATCCTCAATGTGCAACAGCTCGCATCGGCGCAGAAACTCGATGGCATCTTTGATTCCGGTGCCGGGCTGCCGGATCTTCTTCTCCGCTACAAGCAACCACAGTTTCTTGCGGAGCTTGTCATTTCCTTCCGGTCTATCAGCAACGATCGCGGCTAGTTCAATATCTTCATGCTGCAGAGCCAGCTCAACTGCCTGAAGATACTGCCCCATCGCGCTGTATATATGGATGCATGATTGAACGCGTTCGTGTTGAATGCATAACCGCAGCGCAAAGTCGGCATCGTAAGGAGGGGGCGAAGACGGCTGAGATTGAAGGTAAGTGAGAAGACCCGCTTCCGAAGTTGAAGGGCTCGAGGCGTGGATCGAGATTAGTGTGTTATGCACTGCAGCCGATGGCTTGGGGTGATTGACAACGATAAAGTTGAGGTATCGCACGGCCTGATTCTGGCTGAGAGGGACGTTCACAGTCTTATTATAATTGAGAAGCGCAGGGATAAGTCTCTCGGGCTCCAAGTTTGTCTGCCGCATCAGAATATCCACTAACCCGGTCGCAGCATGGGTCATCAGCACGCTGCTATACTTGTAGAAGACGTCGGGATCCGTTTGTTTTTGTAGGACATTGAGTGCTTCTGACCACTTCTCACGTTGTATCCAATAAGACAGGACGTAATTGTAGTCACTAGTCGCCGTCGCAAAAAAGAGCAGTTCCTCTTCTCGGCCATGGCTACTGATAATGTCGTACGCAGTCTTCTTGTCCAAGTCGGCCTTGTACTTGTTCACAAACTCCTGGAACTCTGCCCGAACATTGCTCAGCTCATCTTTGATGTCCTCCGTGCTGGCTCCCTCCGCCAACTCAGCCTTGGTGGCTATGTTATCGTCAAGAGCGTTCAATTTCGACATGAAAACCTCTACCAGCCAGCTCGCAACCATAATCCTTTGCATGGTAGATGATTTCTTGTATGTCGATAATTGGGTAAGGAGATACTTTCGCAAAGCGTCATGCTCGTTACGATTGATCAGAGCCAGACAGACCTCCTCAAAGCCCTTGCTACTTTTACCCCAAACCTTGGCCGCTTCTAGGTAACGGCCCTTGCTGGCTAGAAAGTCGCCAGAAGCAGTAGCCACGGCATCCTTCTGCGCATTACCACGGGCATATTCAAGTGCCTGGTCAAACATCTGCTTCTGCAGGAACACTTTCCACACATCCCGGTCCTCGTCCTCAGCAACGATTTCGAAGATTTCCTGGCTGGTAAACAGCCAATATGTGTGCTGCATAGAGTCTGTCAGAAGTCCTAACGTACTCTGTCCAGGCTCGAGTACTGCTTGCTCATAGATGATTTCATCGCTCATGCGGTTGACAGCAACAATTTTCCCTTCGACAAGGGCTAGAATGTGCCACTGTGACAGTGTCATAGCGGCTATAGGATCTTGGATTAGCTTCTTGCCTCCACGAGCTGACTCCGTAGCCGGGAACATGGAACGCGGAAGCATCCTGGAGCTTTCAAAGGGCTGGTTCGGTTTTCCCGGAGCACATGGCAACTGACCATGGTAGATGCCTTGTGAACTGAGCCAGGCGAACTCTTTCTCGGCGTGACTATCCGCATTATGCCCATCAGACACTGCGGAGATTACCAGCGTCGACGGCGCGGCACCAGATGGTTTCTGAATCTCGTGCACCGCTGGTGCCTCCCGTTGAAAGAGCTCGGCATATATACCTTGACTCCCTTGCCTCCCTGCCCGCCCCCGAAAATATAGTAGCTTGCCATGTGTCGCGATCAGCACTTGTCTCTGCTCGGACGTTGTAGGCACCAATTCTGCGCAGACTCCGGTCACAGGTGATCCCTCCGAAACTTTGTAGACTGAGTGAGCGTATTTTTCCTCGCGCCGATAGAACTCCGTGGACGGCTCGATGTAGGTCTCCCAAATCTGACCATCTGTAGTACCTAACAGGATCTCCCTTGTTGAAGCTGTTGGTAGCGAAGGGTTCCAGGCAACGCTCTCGATCGAAACGTTCTTTAAACGCGACAGCGACTTGGGTTGTCTAGACTGAGTATGAAGGTAGTAGTTCTCGCCAAGGGTCGTAGTAATGATCAAATGGGATGCGGAGGGGTCAAGGAACATTCGACGGATCACTCCGATTTCCGAGGACTTCTTGGGAAGGTCAATATCTAGTTCAAAACACCTTAGCATTGCGACGAGGACAGCAGGACGGAGCGCATGAGCTGATAGGAATCCAGTTACCATCAATGTCTTCGGGAGTATCTAGATCTATACGGAGGATGCGATTTGTCGACAAGGCAAGAATGAGCACATTGTTAGCAACTTGTGCGGCGACGAAATCCGCAGCTAATGGGAACTGCAGCTGAACACGTCGGACATCAAACATGGAGAGTGAGGCATCCGGAGCTTCGGCAAAGTTGCTGGGAGCAACATAACCGTTGGATGCATCCAGCGCCATGATGCGCCGTTTATGGAAAATGAAGGGGGAACTCTTAAATCATAGCGAGGCTCCAATGAGCCTGGCAGGTAAGGAGGAGCACTGCTTAATTGTTGTTGATCCTTGATCAACTAGTTGAATGAATGATCATCCAAATGGGTGGGAGCTTGACGAAGGCGGAGTGCCTGATGCCTCAGGCAGGACTTGTATGCTTTAGAGCTCTGTAAGAGCTCGAGACAGGCAGCAAAGTCCATGAACTGCACATCTCCAAGGAGAACTGATTTTACGGGAGTCCTTGTTTGAAATATCTCTGGACGAATCTCCTTCTTCGTCTATCTTTATTAATGTGACATGTACTCTATGGACATACAGGAAGATAAGACTCAACAACGAATGCGCTCTGGCTAAGACAGGAATTGTAAATCATAGCTGGGTATCAAGTGCCTTTCCCTCTAGGCTTCCAAGCAAAAATGGTAGCAAATATTAGATGCGATGAATGAAAAAGTATCACATAACTATGCACTCCCGCTCCAGCTTTCTTCCAAATCTCTCTCGCGACCTATCCTTCGCTTTGCCTTTAGAACGCTCGTGATCCTTGGAGCGTCTGGGGCTCTTTTCTTTGCTCTCCCTACTAGTTCGCGCGGAAATCTCTCCAGCCTGACTGGTCAGGTCATTGTCCACAGCAAAGTCGTCGACGTCGTCTTCCGCAGAGCCGTCGCTGGTGACCTTTTCTTTGCTGCGGCGTGACGTGAAGCGAGAGAATGTTGCACTAATCCTGTTTTCGCTAGTTTGACTCCCGGCACGACTGGTAGGTTTACTCCTGGCTAATCTGGACTCGCGTCTGGAGTAAGAAAAGAAAGTTTTGTCTTCCGAGTCCTTTGGCAGGATCCGTGGCGAGGTTGAAGAGACAGGATGCACTTGGAGGTTATTGGGTGAATCGCCGTGGTTCGAAAAGGCTACGCTTTGGTTTCCTCCATTCCGATCCGTCGGTCCGATTGCAGCATCCTCTGGCGTAGTAATTTCGACGCTTGGCCGGCCAGAACCATATCCCGACGTAAGATCAAAATCAGTATTATCTGTCGACAATGTCTGAAGCTTCCGCACAATCCGCGCAGCATCGAGCTCACCGATATCTTCCGATGTATCGGAGCAAGGAGCTTTGGTGGCAAGATTTGCTTCTGCAGCATCCTCATTGATGGGCAGTATCTGGTAGAACAGGAGATACGGGGACTCGAGCTTCAGCGCCTGCTCAATGTCGACCAGGGTAACGCGTTCCTCTGCCAGATCGTCGAAGCGCATCCAGTATCTAGGAGCGTCTGAGGCAGGCTCCGATCCGTGAGAGCTGGCAGGAGGTGCGCCAGCACTAGTGCCTCTGACGATGGCAATGTAGTGCCCTGAGTCGACTGAGTTACCTCGATGGCAAACTAACGCTTGCAGAGACAACTTGAAGTTTCCGTAGATGGGGCCGTCTTCGTCCATGTTGTCGTCTTGAATGAAGTGGGGCAGCCCGATTTCCGTTGGTATATCGACATATGTGCTAAGTCTGACAGCTTTCCCATTCGTAAGCATGGAATAACGCTTTAAGCACATGCCGAGTATTGGTCTCTTCGATGAAAAATGCGCCGCAACCTGGGCATCATTCCTTGGGGTGTTATCCGTGTACCAAGCTATGGGAGTTGGAATCAGAATCCCTTCTTTTCCCACATGTAGGGGAGTGAATGCACCTACGTATCAAACTGAAGAATTGCCACGCGGGCATCATAACTTCCTTCCTGTAAGATCCTCTCCGGGAGTGACTCTTCGTGGTAGTGCCACCGTCAGCATTTCCTTCATCTTCCGAATCAGGTACGAATCGTTCTTGGACGATGCTGCTTCGCCGAACGAGGGCGCCTCGAGGCGTGCTTGAGCCACTTACTTCTATCTGGGTTATTATCGGCGTTATTGGCGCTGAGCCGTCGGACCGCAGTGGAGTCAACTGAGTTGGAGAAGTCGCAGGAGACGGGATGACCTCAACAGTCTCGATATGTGATGTACACCCTTTGGACGTGGAATCGAAAGATCTGGTTGAGCTGACAGTATTGCGCCGCTCAAGGTGGCGTTTGACCTCAATCCTATTGTTGAAATATGATTCCAAACAGTCCTCCAGCGTAACTGTCTTTCCATCGACAGGCTCAGGAATCGCGACCTCCAGCAATCTCTCATTGACAAATTTGTGGTCGCTGCTCACATCCTCTTTCCCAGTGTGGTAGATGTCCATCTTCAGAGTGAGGAGAGGTAACTCTAACTTTTCTGTGATGAATGTGAAGGCCTCTGAGGTATCTTGCTGGCGAAGCTGAGCTGCATCTTCCCAGCCACATTCAGCGAGTGCATCCTGCAAATGCTTGGTCTTCGAGCCCAACAATATCAGTAATTTTTGGACTAACAAAAGGCAATTGAGGTCAATACGTACAATGTCTGTTGTGATGAGTTTTCCTGACCGCAGCATGTTGACCCAAAGTCTTAGCAATATTGAGAGCTTGCGACGAGGCTCGTCATTAAACGACTTGTATAGAATCGCTTCGAAGCAATCTAGACGAGCAAACATCGCGAACAGCAATGCGTCCAGGTAGCAGGTAACTCCCTGTCGGTTGACTGCTCCAAGAAGTTTCGTACTTGGAGTGTACGCTCTGATTATACCCTCAATCGAATCCTCCAAGATGAGGAGCAAATCAAATGCTTTCTCTATGTCTCCCTGAGCGGACTGGAGCGCATACTCAAAATGCTCTTCCTTCAAGCCAGTATAGCCAAGTTGTGCGATGCGACGCCCCAGTATCTTGAGCTATGGAAGTTGTGAATATCATGGACGGAGAACGACCAGGGCAACTTGCTCCTTACCTTCTTCTGCTCTTCTTGATCTGACTCGGGCGCGCGATCGGATGCGAAAAATCCGCGGAAAAGAGGACGGGATAGTACGGTCGAGGCCTTGAAAGATAAGCGCATTAGCATTCATAGATCCTGGTGAAAGCTGCTCCCCTCATACCGTACCTCATCCTTATTCTGCTTTGCATTCCTGCTGTTTCGCTCGCGCCTGGTAAGGAACCTATGAATACCACTCATATTGTATGGCTCAGGACGAATGTCACTAAGCGCATTCGAGTGTAGGCAATAAGCGTCTTCAGGTGAAGAGTAGACAGGTGGGTTGTCCAAGGAATCGAGTAGGATGCGACATGTGGAAGACTGTGGGTATGTATAGTGACAGCTAATGTGAGCTCAGGCTCCAATATTCTTGTTTGTATGAATGATTTCCTTGGTGGAATCAGTGAGCATATCAGGTGCTTAGCTCTTCTGACAAGACTTCTGTGGCACTAGAAGCAGTAAGGTTGTTTGTTCATAAGTCACACAGAGGATAAAATCAAGAGATGTTCTAGAAATGACATAAGATAGATTGTAAAATGCTAAATATGCAACAAGGAACAAGCCATAAGAAGGATTCCGGAACAAAATTAGTGGAGACCTCTACTCCGTACTCCGTAGAGACGTAGATATAGCTTGCTATCTTTTTGGTGGGGTGATGAAGCTGATCACATGTGGAGCCTCTTGTTATGCGGAGTGACTTTGTTGCCTTGCATGGATGCCAGATCATCCAGGCACTGATTCTCTGCCGCTGCACGTGACCGGTTGAATCTCAGGCTCCGAGGCGGAAGTAATTTTTGGAAGTCCGATATTGATCGACTGAATCAACAACACCATCTTCAAACCCCAATGGCTGCCAGCGAGTCGTCCAGGTTCCTGGCAAGGTCACTGCCAAGAGCTTTTGCACCATCTTCTCGTCTTCAGAGCGTTTGTTGGCGCCGCAATGCCTCAGACCAGGCATCGTCTAAGTCCCCAATTAGTGATCTGGAGTCGTCGAGCTCTCTGAGTGCCAGCGTGACGGAAGATATTGTGAAGTCATTTGATCCAGTAGCGAGGTCAAGAGCGCGCAAAACACAGTTGCCTCGGAGTCGGTAAGCATTATTGTCCTATTTCAGTGCCAGTCCAAGCTGCGTTCGCTTCGAGCGGCCATCCATACTAACCCCAGAATGTAGTTATCAGTTCCGTTCACCCAAATACGACCGTGGTCCTCTACACCCTCACAGACCTCCTCCACCATCAGATCCCTCTTCTCGACTTTTTGTTCCTGGTCCCTTTTCACTTCCCAGAGTAACACAGACTTGGGAATCGACGATCGCTCCAGATATTCTCACCCTCTGCTACGTCCACACCCCTCCCGGTTTCACACCCCCACCGAAGGGTTCTCGTCTCCGTGAGTGGGACGACAGCTCTCCTTACCACAAGAACCGACCCCTGCGTGGACCTCGTGGCGGCGACGTTCTACGACTGCTCCGCAAGCCCATCACTTTCAACAACATCCCCCAGCTGGAGCGCATCACCATCCACAGCTACGTCAAGCAAGCTGCTACGGAGAACTCGTCCTGGCTTCATGTCGCCGGTATGGCCGTTCAGGCTATCTCCAATGTCCGCGTCCAGACATATAAATCAAAGTCCAGTGTTGCCACTTGGGGTATTGCGCCTGGCAGAGACACCGTCGCGGTGAAGGCGGAACTGCGCGGTGAGGATATGCTCCACTTCTTCGGAAAGTTAGTCGATGTTGTTCTGCCTAGAATCAAGGACTGGGAAGGTGTCAAGGGTACCAGTGGTGATAGCAGCGGAAACATCACGTTTGGTCTTGAGCCCGAGAATGTGGCTCTTTTCCCTGAAATCGAGGTCAACTACGACATGTAAGTTGAAATGTGGTCACTCAAACGATTTTCAAGGTAGCTTTCAGGCTAACGTACTCTTTTCAAATAGGTACCCACCAAAGATGATCCCCGGTGCTCACATCACGATCCATACAACTGCCAGAACCGACAAGGACGCCCGTCTTCTCCTCAGCGCCATGGGTATTCCCTTCTATGGAAAGCTGGTTGATTAGACGTCCATCTCATTCACCTGATCATATGTGTTTCGTCACCTGGGACAAACATGCCAGCCTTGAAGAACCAGGTGGCTTCTGAGCGCTATACTAGCTCATTTTGTATTTTATGTTAACTGGCAACCAAGTTGTATCATAGAAATCATGTGATAACTCTATATTCTTTGAAAAAAACATACTTCTATGGACATACCTCATTCTTCGCACTGCTGCTACATATGGCAACCCTTCTCATACGAGCAACTACCTCCTTCTCAGCGAGAACATAAATGCTGTGATTAGACACGAAAGATCGACCAAGTTTGTTCCCATCTAGTACCCGAGACAACATTAAAGCATGAATACTAGACGTCATATTTTGGTCCTATTCAACAACTGCGATGCCCGCTTATGTATGGCACACAAATAAGCAACAAATGCAATCAATGAGATATTAGAATCCTATCGGATATTGAAAACGCCTTTGAGGTGATAGCCTTACATTTAGAAACTGGTGAGAGGAAAGAGAACAACAAAGACGAGAAGGCTCCGGGGTATTCAAGTTCATAAAAGTGAAAATGCTGAATTCGATGTGCCTTCGAAATGAAAAGGAAAATTGGCTTTGGGAAAACGCCTGATATTTGGGGCAGATAGTATGAGCAGTGCGCTCTTATCCAAGGAGAGACCCTGGGCTATTGAATCATGTCTGAGATTCTGGTGCATCTCACGCCAGCGGTATAGACAAGAACTGGCTCTGCAGTAACTCGTCCGCGGTGGGTCTTTTTTCATAATCGACTTGGAAGGTCATGTCCAAAAAGGCCATGGCTTCTTCGCTCGCGTGCTCGGGAGCTGGGGGTCTCGCACTGTTGCTACCAATGGCGAAAATAGCTTGCAACTGACTGCAGTCAGGGAAAGGATGGGCCCCAATAAACATCTCCACGACAAGACAGCCCAAACTCCAGATGTCCGCCTTTTTTGTGTGGGCTGTCTGTCGCACGACTTCCGGTGCCATCCAGTACACGCTTCCCTGCAGAGAAGGTCGATGAAGATGACCACCTCCACTCCCGCTGGCTCGGGCACCAAGAACAGTGGAGGCCTCAACGCGTTTGGAAATGCCAAAGTCCGAAATTTTGATGCCGCCCTTGTTATCCACCAAGATGTTGGCGCCCTTGATATCACGGTGGATGATGTCTCGACTATGAAGGTAGGAAAGACCTGCCAGAATTTGACGTACGAAATTCTTGATCAGTGGCTCTTGGAAGGTGTTGTACTGTTTGAGCATCGTGGCAATTGAACCGCCCGGGACGTACTCCAGGAAAATATTCAGGTATTGATCGTCCGCAGAGGTGCCCAAATACTGGACGATATTTGGGTGGTGAAGCCCTTGCAACAGCTCAATCTCATGTTTAAGTGCTGTCACCATGCTGTTCTTCCGCTTGTCAAACTCAGTACCCTTGGTTGCCGAAGGTATTTCCACTTGTTTGACAGCCATGAGCTCTCCAGTGATTGCATGAAGAGCAAGGAAGACACTGCCAAACGATCCCTCCCCAATCAAAGATCCCTTCATCCAGTTCTTGGGTGCAAAATTGTTGCCTGAAAGGAACTCGTTAAGGCCATCATCCTCCTCTTCCCCATCTTCAGCCACCAAGACACTCAATCTCTCATTGAAAGATCCTCCGTCTGTCGCTGCAACGCTTGCGTTTTCATCAAGGAGGCTTTGGCGCGAGTTACTCGGCTCATCTGACCCACTATCGAACGAAACATATGATTTGCGATTCGGCTCAATGGGAGACTCCTCTTGAAGAGGCTGAAGAGAGCTTGAGGCAATGGAATCCCTATACGCTGTTTGGGGAAGATTGAATCTGGAAACCGAAAGCGGCCTCGAGGCTCGAGTAGGCTGCGCCCCAGGATTGAGCCAGGTATCAGCGATGCTCGGGATCGGGGGCGCATCCCTCAAGCTCGATGCATAGCTTGTATTGCTGATGACACTAAGGCGACTTGCTGCTCGGCTGAGGCGTTGAGATCTCCGAATCGACATGCGCATGGTCTTTTCAATATCCTCACGCTGATGACCGGGGAAATACGAAGTAAGTTCATGAATAATCATCTCGCTAGGTGGGCGAGCCCCGAAGAAAGATCGCAACTTGGCGACAGAGGGGCGTTCGGCGTTCAATTGGAGAGACGGATCATGCTCATTATGACCCTGAGGGTGCCGAGCAGACACAGGCGATAGCGGTTGTTTGATATGATGCCAGGGTTCACCTGTGAGTTGCTGTATCTTAATCTGATTGCGCACATTTGAACTGCTCAGAGCATTCATGTGTGTCATTTGGCTTTCATCCAGCGCAAGCTGGGAAGCACGACGGAGCTCATCGGTATCTGGTTCTCCAGCGTGGATTTTCCGCAGAATGAGACGTCCGCGCTCGGACCTGCTCGACCCTTCGCAGATCTCCAGGAGTTCGTGGTCCGCAAGTCGCCTACAGTTCGAGGGATCTGGTTCCAAGCCGTCCAGCACGTAGAAGCAATAATTCCGATACTGGTGCTCTGGAAGCTGCAGCTTCTTGAGGACACACAGTATAATCTCATCTGCGGTCTTGCAATGCTTGATATCCAGCACCTTGGTCTGTCCGCCAGTGTATATGACCCTGATAACAGGCGAGTTTGCGGGCAAAGCACCCATTGTCAGACCATCAATGCTGGGGTTTTGCCTCAGATGTAAGCCACCTTTGTGACCATGGCCACCGTCGCTAGGTGTTCCTGGGTTTCGGCCAGAATTCGAGCCGCCGGAGGAGGGATGACTGAAATAACCCTCTTTCCGACCACTTTCCATCGGGCTGTTCGCAACATACCGCTGATTTCTCAATGGGGACCCTGGGCGTGACGATGATTTTCCCGAGGAGTAGACATGTGAACCATTGTCGACTAAGCGAGACATACGGCGATTGCTCGAACTTCGTTGGCGGATGTTGGTAAGTCGAGAGGAGTCTGATGAAGTTGGAGCGTACGTCGAGGCCTCAAGTGCAGCGAGTTGATTCTTCTTCAGGGTAAGCCGAGGTCCCAACCGTGACAGCACTCTACTCACCATGTTCATTTGTCTATGATTGTTGACACTCCTGTTTCTGAGTTTTTTGATAGCTACGAAAATCCGCACTCGATCGCCGATCTTCTTGATACCCATTTCCTGAAGAATTTTCTGATCACATTCAATAAGATTGTCTCCGTTGAAATTGTTTGCTGGATACCGTCAGTGACTCCGTCGTATTGGATTCGGTGGTAAAGGGCCGCTGTTCAATGTGTACCTCTGAATAAAGACTCATACTGGCCGCAATTTATGCTGTGCAGCCAGTTGATCACTTGTTTCTCATCCCACGACCTGGAAAAGTTGCAATCAGCCGTCTGTGAGGACCTCCAAGACAGATTAGGTGGCGCTGATAACCCACCGAACGGCATCATGTCCATCCTTCAAGGAGAACTCCGACTCTGTCGGACTTGTAAACAGCACCCCGTCCTGCGAAGACGCCCCCGTTGTCGACTTGTGCGACGGTCCGACATGATATGTTGGTGCCGTAGCCTGGGATCCTGAAATGCCCAGAGGGGCCGAATATTGAATCTTTGACGCCAACATAGCCGGTATATCTTGCGGACGTGGTTCTTTATGACCGTAGCGCAACTGTCTCGAGCGTTGACGCGATCTTGTGCCCTATGGATACTCTCGAATTCAATGGCATAACATAGTACCGGCGTTTTCCCGAGAGCTTTATGACCGACTGACTGTGCGACTTTAGGAACTGTTTGACTTCAACCGGCGCGAGGTCCAGAGTTCTCTATATTCACGACGGTGGTCAGTCAATTTTTCAATAGCATAAATGTTTTCTTGTTTTTCTTTTTTTTTTTTTCCCCTTCCAGTAGAAACAAACCCCACACGGCAGGAAGAGCGAAGAGTAGCCAGTGGAGAAGAAGGGTTAAGGAAGATCCAGAACTGGGATAACAAGGAGTGAAAGTATCACTAGACTGCTTACAGAAAGTAATGACTGTGTGTACACAACTTCTCCGTGAATATCTGGTTCTTTTGCTCTGCCCTTGAGGCTTTAGATCAGCATAGGCTAAGGCAATTCACGATCAGGCGTTGTCTGCTGCACTATAGTAGTCTCATAAGCTGAGAGACGCGGGGAAGAAAGAGAGGAAGCCAGCAGTAGGAGTACAAGGACATCATACACTCAGATGTTATCTTCGTGAGCTCCTCAACAAGGGATAATGTTATTAAAATAATGATAAGCAGCAAAGAAGTAAAATGATGCTGAGTGATCACCCCTCCTGCGACCCTGACAACAACTGTATCTCTGTGGAGGCCCGATCGGTCGGGGACAATACCTCCGACATGCAATGGAAGTATCTACTACTAATCATTTTCTCAAACAGGCCGCGCTGCTGAAATTTGTCAGGGGCCAGAAAGTCTGAAACAATAGAGCCCCTCCGTTCCATTAAATTCATCCCCTTTCCCGATACTTATCGCCATAATTGCCTTCACTGATTCAATTTCAGTGAGCTATTCTTAGCCTGTGGAATCAGTGTCGGTGGGTTCAAACTTCAACCCTAATTTTGACATCGGATCGTCGTGTTCATCTTAGGATCGATCTAAGTTTGGCAGAGCGATCAAGCACAGAATTCTCCGTCACGCCGTTTAGATATCTCCTGGAAAGACTGAGATACTGACAAAAGCAGCAGACTATGCTCCTCCGATGGACCCACATGCATTTTCATACGAGCTGCCTATGGAGCAAACCAGAGTTCCAGAACCTCAGGAACAGGCCGACACAGTCTCGCTTGTGAGCATTGAGCAGTATGGAGTACTATTGTATTTTCGCGCGTTCTCTAAGGTCTTATGAGATAGCTATGAAATCTTCTCCTTTTATTCACGGCTGCCTTCATCTCGAAATGAGTCTTTCATTTAGAGGCTGTGAGTCCAGTTTGTGCCAGTGTCGAATTGTGTTGACCCATATGTTCAGGGGCATTAAGAGCTCTCCATGAGTTGCGCCGTTGCCTTGGAGCTCAATCTGCATCCCTGACTCTGATACGCTGCTGAGTCGGACCTCTTCATGCCAGCTTTACCAAGCCTTGAAGCCCAAATCACACGGCTGCTCTTTCACTTTGTGTCTCTGCCTGGCTTTGAGGTCATGTCCCTCCAAATGAGCTGGAAGCTGAGAAACTCGACACTTCCGCGTGCTGGCCTGAGAATGATTAAAATCACGACTCAATGGCCGGATATTCCCTTAAACACTTCTTAAGCTGCCGTGTAGTACATTGGAGGAGGCGTACCTACCACGCCCATGCTGGTCACTGGGTAGTTGTATTCATATGTAAGCTTCCGGTTGGACCTTTTGGTTCTCCTTGGCGGAAAGATGAGTGATCTGATTTTCGAAACCAGAAGTAATGACGGCTGTAATATTATCAGTTCTCCAAGCAGAAGAATTGGCGTGTCATGCCCTAGTCTGTTACTATACCTCCCGAGTAGCGAATGTTGCGGAAGTCATGGCCAAATAATGGTTTTGTCTTATCAATTGAGAAGGAACCATCTATATCTTTATTTCATTCACCTCATTATCTCAGGCCTCGTGCACAATTTTTCTGATGGAGACTATCAATGTGCTGTAGGTAATGTTGGTGTTGTTTGCTGTTCACTCGAACCAATATATTTTGTCTTATATCCCCAACCTGATATAGATCGACCCTTCCCAGTGTTCTCTGGGCACTTGGTAACAACAGATCCACGGGTCCATAGATTACAGCTGACGGCTACATACTGGTATATCCGGTCTTTAAATTATAAAAAATTCCTCGTCACCATCAGTGGCTGATGTAGCAAACCCATCCACCACATTCTCTATGTAATACCACGGTACTAGGTGCTCGCTTTAGCCGGCCCTTCTCCCATTCTCTTCCTTCTACACTAGACAGAAATTCCTCAACGAAAGTCATGACGAATAAAGAAAGGTTAGATATTGAAACGCCAATAGCAGCTGGCACCCTCGTAAAGTATATATCTCCGCACCAGTGGGGATCGTGTAGTGCAGATATGCAAGTAGGATGGAGTACGGAGTAGCTATCTACCTTATCATTGCATGTCAGGGACGGAGAAACCCATTGTTGAACAAACAAGGGCTACGTTCTTCTGTCAGAGTGTTAGATAAGGATAACGTAAAAAAAAAAAAATATATATATATATATATATATATATATCATCAATGAGACCGAGTGTCTACCTATGCGACATTGAAGCAACATCCTTACTATTATCAGCGCGGCTGTATGGCTGCTTTGGGAAAAATGCCTTCAGTGCGGGTGGACGATGACTGCACGTGACCGGCTGTCCTTCTTTCCAGTTAGTAACACTAACCCCCCTCATGCCTTGACCCCACAGTTTTTCTTCCCCGCTCGTCTGTTGCTCATCTGTGAGGACATGCTCCAATTCCAAGGCAATTCGCCATGGAGGAAGAGAGAACAGTTCAAGGTAAAGTGAAGAAGAAAAGCGCCACGCCACATCGGAAGTCTTTGTCCTGCGAATATTGCAGCAGGTCCTTCGCTCGCTTGGAGCACCTCCAACGACATCTCCGCACTCGTTGAGTAACCCTGGAATTGGCCCTGTGCGCTGAGGTAAAACATGAATGCTAATCCATCATCGTAGACACGAAGGAAAAACCATTCTCATGTGACATATGCTCCAAATCATTTGCAAGGAGGTAGGCTGTTATCTTACGTTGCATAGATATCGGCTGGCGCTAACAATATGAGGGAAAACTCTGTAGCGACCTACTTGTACGACATGAGCGCTTAGTCCATCCCGCCGAGGCTGCGGCCAATCGAGAACATCGAAATCACAGTAACCATGAGGTGCCTTCGACGCCGTCCTCTATGATACAAACGGCCCATCATGAGTCGCGAATGCTCGAGCTTGCAGATGCAATACCAGTCCAGCCGCAGCCGATTCCGCCGCCTCCGCCTGAGGTCCAGGTCCAGCCAGCACCGATAATAGAGACAACGCATTTCAACCCCTCATGGGGATACGATCTGAATCTTCTGTCTCATGCTGCCAGCCATGTAGCTCTTGAAGGCCAACAGGAAGCTCTTGAGTCGATGCGAAAGCCTTCACATTCCGTGGGCCCTCCTCAGCCGATCCCTCATGTCACGGACAGGCCGATCACCGAAAACTATGGGCTTGAACCTTCAATCCTCGATCTAACTGACTTAGGTGACCCGGTCCAAGACTTCACTGTCTTTTTAGAAAGTGTTGGTCTCTCATCCGACTGGGACTCGGGAGTGTTTTCCACTGTCGAGGAACCTATATTGCCAACTACTCTCTCGATTGACTCTAAACCATCTCTTCGTGAAACGTCTAGACTAGGGGCAGAAGTTATGAATGACCCGCGCTCGGCCGACGATCCTCCATCATTCTCAAATTTTGGATCTCGTTTACCTTCGCTGCAACCCGAGCCTCACGAAGTGGATGATCGACTCGGTTTCGGCGACGATGGTCCACGTCCGGCATGGGATATCTCAAACGCTGACCGCCAGGTCTTCGTTTCCAAACTTGAGGAGTTTGCTTATGTTCTTCCGAAGGGCTTTGTACCTCCATCAAGACACGCTCTGTCTCGCTTCTTTGCTGGCTATATCAACGGACTGAATGAGCATCTTCCTTTTGTTCATGTCCCAACACTTTCTGTTGCCAAATGCTCTCCTGAGCTGACACTCGCACTAGCGGCAGCAGGATCGCATTATCGATTCGAGAACAATCGAGGGATTGACCTGTTTCACGCAGCAAAGGCAATACTCCTCGAGCGCCTCCGAAGAAGGGACAGCAAGCAAGTGCCATGCCCGACATGGAATTTTTATTCTCCCAGTTCGGGATTCCACAACTCGCGTGGCTCGTCGGCCATGTCAAATCATGCTAGTAGCCCTTTCCAGCAACAGCAGTCTATGCCGCACCCTGTGGATCCTTCAATCTATGTATCAGATGATTCGGATGCTCACATGGAAGTGATTCGGACATTTTTGTTGCTCACAGTTTTTGCATCTTGGGAAAGACATCCGGAACTTCTTCGGGAAATTTTATCGTTGCAAAGTACATTGGCAAGGCTTGTTCGAGAGCATGGACTCTCCGAACCAGCGACCAGTCCTGACCCAAATAGCTGGGAGGAGTGGATACGAAGAGAGGGCAACAGGCGCACAAAGCTCATCGTCTACTGCTTTTTCAATCTACACTCCATCATGTACAACATCCCCCCTCTAATCCTGAACGCGGAGTTGAAATTGAACATGCCATGCTCTCACGACGTCTGGAAAGCGAGCAATGCAGCCCAGTGGAGACGGCTCAGTCGCACCCGGCCCGGAGTGGATGTTCCCTTCCAGGAGGCATTCGCCAAACTGTTTTTAAAGTCGAGCATCTCGAACTCTTCGGCACCAATCTCGCCACTCGGAAATTATATCCTTATACACGCTATTATCCAGCAGATATTTTTCGCGCGTCAACTCTGTCTATCTGCACCGACTATGCAAGGCACAAGTCTCAGACCCGATGACTTGACTATTCTAGACAACTCTTTGAGCGCTTGGAAGGCATTATGGAAACGCACTCCCGAATCCAGCATCGATCCTCAGAATCCAGCTGGGCCGATTGCGTTCACCTCTACTGCCCTTCTCGGACTCGCTTACATCAGATTGCATGTTGACTTGGGCCCTTGTCGTCGTCTGATCACTCAAGACCCAGCTCAGATTGCCAGGGCCTTAAGTGAGTCCCCGCCCATAGCAAGGAGCCCACGTCTCATTATGGCCTTACTGCATTCTGCCCATGCACTGTCCATCCCCGTACGCCTTGGAATCGACTTTGTGGCGAGAACCCATTCCTTCTTCTGGAGTATTCAGCATTCTCTTTGCAGTTTGGAATGCGCTTTTCTCTTGAGCCGATGGCTACTCTCAATCCCAGCTACGCACTCGGAGCAGAGGTTGTCAGACCATGAAAGAAAGTTACTTTTGTGGATCAAGAGCATGATGGATGAGACTGACATGGCCGTTGACCCGCCAGGGGCGCCCGATATGGAATTTATGGCTAATCCTTACAAGGCGAAACAACTAAGCGTCGCTATTGTTCGGGTCTGGGCAAGAACCTTCAAGGGAAACACGAGTTGGGCGATAGTTGACTTGGTTGGGTCAAGCTTGGATGCTTATGCAGATGTTTTACAAAATCAGCTATGACTTCAGGAATGGCTTTGTTTGTCTGTCCTGGAACCGATCAGCATGCATCCCCCCAGGCTTTGACAGATGATCTGTGCTGAAGAAACCGAGTCCCCCTGCGAAGAAGGGATATTGCCAATCGCCCTATGTGTTCTCCACAAACTTTTTAGGGTACCTTACATTGTTGACTGCAAAGTGAAAAGAATAGTTAACTCAATCACGGCTCACTTGGCCTGTGAATCACTGATGCTTTCAGTCTCATCGACATGGATGATATATGATGTTGCTATATACCCGCGTCTATGGATTACTCTCTCATCTATTATGTGCCTGTTTTTCTCCTCGAGGCCTTTGTTCTTGATACTTTTTCCTTTCATTATCTGGTTTTGGGTGTATATAAGTTAGTCAGGATCCTCCTACACGATGAACATGCGGTCACGGTTTTCCAGTTTTTTCTGGCTATGGCGCTATAGCAGCTTGTCATTGCGGCTAAATTGGGGATTGATGGGATTCTGAGAACGAGAGAAAATCCGAAAAGTGTCGTCTATACTGGCGTTCTCGTTGAGTCGAGCGATCGGTGGTCTTGTCATTTTCAGTCCTAGCAGTCAGGTCGTCGTCAACATACTTCTATGTCTTTAACAGGAGAAGACTATGGGGTATTATCTTGCTTGACTCTCGTTACATTGAGCTCCGTGTTGCGCAAACTTAAGATGCTGAGTCGTTTTCATGATGTATTTTTGCATTAGTCTGACGGTGGAATAAAGTATTGTTACATGAATTCAGTCAAGGCTTACTCTCAGGTCTCCTCTGGCTTTTACTAACACTTGCCGGGACAAATCGCAACGCGGACATGGACTTCTCCAGTTGAGTGATTTCCATTTCCTCCCGACTTATCTGGACCGCGCTTTGCACCGCATGCGAGTGCGATTCTGACGTCTTTCGGTTTCTCAACCTGCCTTCCTGCAGCGATGGTGCTGTAGCCGATATGCGTCGTCTGTGTGTATCCGGTGATCGCAACATAGATATTTGCTTGTCGATACCGTCGTTGACGATGTAGAAATTATAGGTCTGCGACTTTGGTATTAGCTACAGTGAAGAATCATGATCGTAGAAGGAAAATACCTTTGGAAACATATGTTTATCAATCAAATGCATCCGACGTTTTTGAGGTGTAGAGCATTTCCTTTCGCAATCCTCGATGAAGCAACTGTACTGCATCGCAGGGGCTCTCGTTAGTGGTGGTCATCGCTAGACAGTAGTTGATTCTGAAAGCAATGGTCACAGTGCTAACGGACAGTTTTCTCTCCCTTGTCTCTCTTCGCAGCAACGAGCGGATCATGATTCTCCTCGATATGCAAATTCAGGAATCGATCTGTAGGGAAATTCTTCCCACACTCTGAACATCGGTTGACATGCGTTTGCAAATAGTGTACCTCATAATCTTCATAGGAGGAGAAGGAAAGGACTTCCCTATGGGGCGGTAGTGAACAATGCATCACTTCGACGGCAGGCTCAGCTGTGTCTTGCAAGAGTATCTTGGAGCGTTCACAAGATGGCGCTGAAGAGGCTGGAGATGGCGATCTTGACCAAGTCTCAGGTGATTGACCAGGTGAGGGGGATCTTGAGACGCGAGGGCGTTTAGACATGTCTTAAGACTTTCCGGCTCTGAGTTGGCCGTTCTCCTTTTGACGGTGGGAAGGACTCCTGCAATGCTCATTGGTTTTGCTTGCTGCGCTTAGTTGAAAGGAGAAATTCTTTCATTGCGGTCTGTTGGTTGTGGTTTATCTAGGGTATATGGTCCAAAATGAGAATGGAAAAGAACTACTATGACAACACTACCCTAAGGGAACTGATTGATTCTTGTCGTTGATATGAACTTGTAGATAATGATGATGGCATTAACTGCATCTTACATACCATCTGAATAATGCATGCATAAATACACCAGCCACAGAGGCACAGACCAATCAATATGCTGCAAGCCACAGGAACAGACCAGTCTATTGCGACTCCTCCACTCCACTCTCCATCCCTCATTATTTCTTTTTTTGCGGACGGCATTCAAAAAGTTACGAACTTACGTGATAAGGGATTTGATTTCCCATCAGCGGTGGCCTTAAACCCCTCGTCGTTCGTCTTCGCTCAGCTTACTTCGTCATCACGTCTTCCTGACTGACACCTCCAGCAGACTGTCTGCGATTCCGGCCATTCGTCTTCTTTAGCGCCCAATCGCCCATACTACTGATGGATCGTTCACTACTTTCGTCGCCCGCAGACTCCCAGCCAGCCATAGCCATCTGACGGGCGAAGTCGAGGGTGGAGTGACACAGACACTATAAAGCCCACCCTGAGCATGGCGTCCGCTTTTCACAATGCGTGGCAGTCAGTACTTCACATACTTTCCGATGCACAGAATGGCACGTGTCTGATTCGCATCACTATAGGACTGCGCTTGAAGCCGAAGGGAAGCTTCTAAAGAGCCTTGCCGAGAAAGAGCCTACGTTTACCGAAATCTCGCACTACCTTTCCGAGTGAGTCCATAAACTCAGTCTGGCTTGCGTTCGCTTCGCGCACATCGATCTGACAGTCCATCGCAGGTTCCGCGCCGCTTGTCAGACTGCCATACTCCAAGACTTTGAAACCTCTCGCTCTATCGACGTTGAAACCCGACTCTGGGATGCACATGTTAAAATTAACACCCGGTTTCGCAAACTGCTCGCCCGCGTGAGTTTTACGAATTGCTTGTATAACATTGCGTCCGCCGTTACCTAACCAATTATGGTTCGTATAATAGTTTCGCGAGGAGAATGCAAAGAAGAAGAAGCCGGTAGAAAGACGCAAACTCGAAAAGCATTACCTCGACTTTATCAAATCCAGCCAGAGATTCTATCGAGGATACATACAGCAGTTGTCGTCGCACTTCGGAGGTATCCCGGAGCTTGAAAAAGTTGCACGGAAGTTCAACTTTGACAGTGAGCAACGTTCGTCCCCGTCATTTCCAGGGCCTTCATTGAGATAAATCGTGTTACCTACCTAGATCTATCGGCGCAGCCTTCAGGCGAGGCTTCTGACACTCTCCGTGCAGATGTCCTTCGATCATGCCATTCAACACTTATCCGTCTTGGCGATCTGTCTCGCTACCGCGAGACTGAACTGGTGAGCAAGGACCGCAATTGGGGTCCTGCTATTGGCTACTATGACTTGGCTATAGCCATTTACCCTGCTTCAGGCGCATCGCACAATCAGTTGGCAGTAATAGCCCTCGCTGACGGCAATCACTTGCGGGCCACTTACCACCTTTACCGGGCCCTAGCTGCCCAGGAGCCACATCCATCTGCCAAGGGTAACTTGGAAATCGAATTCAGAAAGGTGCGCCATGCGTGGCGTAAAAGGGAGTTAATTCGCCCCGAGGATGCTGGGATTCCTGGACGAGCGTTGGCCCCTTGGTTCGTATATCTTCACGCCCAATGCTACAAAGGAAATGATTTTCCCGAGCATGATGAGCTTGAGAGTGAAGTACTGAACCAGCTAGCCGTTGACTTGAAGGAGCGCTCACTTGAAGGGACGCTTCAGAAATTCTGCCTCATTAACATTGCAGCAGAGGACTTCTCGAGGACGCAGCCCGATGGTAAGCCCCCTCATGTCGCATTTACTGGGACCCTTGTTGATGGATTCAGAAGAGTCGGCATCCAATTCACGGCTATTTTTCCAGCGCATCAACGTTAAAACATTTTTTACACTGCTTCAGATCCTTCTAGCGGAGCTGGAGAGGTTTGCGGTTGAAGACTCGCTCGACAAAGACGTGAAGAGCGGGCCGGACAAGGTCACCGTTGTTGCACGCCGCGTACTACCTGCTCTACGACATTATAGTTCTTGGCTCCTCATCGTCAGTCATTCACTGGTGGCACATAAGGAAGAGAAGGATACTCCTCTCGCTGTTCAAATTACGGAGTTTTGGAAGATCTATGCCAATACGTTGAGCCTCCTCGCATCGACTTTCGATGTTGTCCATCTCCCGGAAATCGACTACCTCTTGGAAGAAGATGAGGAGAGTCTGGGATTTGCGCCGCTCAACAAGGACGCCACGTCCCGGCGCTATTTGAGTGCTACTGGCCAGCAGAAACCCCGAATGACTGATGTTGGGGTCGAAAGAAGTCATCCCAATATTGAGATGCTGTACCGGATCCGTGAATTCGTGATTGACGGTCTCGATCTGGTTGTGAGCAACGTATGAAGTGTTCTTTGGTTCTTTTGTATCATTCGATTACTTGCTGATACTTTTTTTTTACGATCTCAGAGAATCCCTATAGCTCTTGTGGATGATGAGGATAAGAAGACCTTTATCTACAAAGAAGATGGCCTTCCTTCCCAGTTCTTCGCCAGCCCCTCCGGCCATCATAACACGCTCTCCACGGCGAGTGTTGAGCGAGAAGATGTTCAGCAGGTGACCAAGGACGTCAATTATGTTGCGGATTCAAGGAGCATTTTTGGCGGTTCGCAGTCGGCGTCTGCTTCAATGTCCGCTAATATGCATCGCATTGTCGAAGGTGTCGAACGACTGGTTGAGTCGGACACTTACGAAAACGCTCCTACACTTCCGGACCAGCTGCCTTTCCCTCGAAGCACCAATCAGCAACCAATACCTAGCAATTTCTTCGAGTCGAACCTCAGTTCGACACTTCGCGAGACAGATGCCGCTGTTCGCCATCCTCCGATTGCTCCTCCTGGGCTCGGGCTTTCAATGCCAAACTCCGCAGCTTTGTCAGCAGCTCCATTGTCCCAGTCCTACACGCCTCGACCTTCCCTGCCTGGTATCCCGAGCATTTGGAGCACCGGACTGTCGCCTGACATCGGTGAAAACTCGGCTCCAAGAACGCCTCCAGGCTTGGGACAACATCCCGGTCAAGCCGTTACAGCAAACATCAGCAGCCCAGGCCCTCACCATGCATCTCACGATATGACTGCAAACGAGCTCATCTTCCGGAACAGCCTCGTTGGACAAGCCTTGTTGCAAAACCCTCTTGGCGGGTCAAGCTCAATGTCCTCCTGGGCCTCTGCCTCGAATCCTGCAGCTCATCATCGTCTTTCGGGAACAGGCTGGGATAGAAGCCCTCTAGGAAGAGCGGCTTCCCCTCCTTCTCTTGGAGTACCAAGCCAGCCAATGTCCAGTGGCTTAGCAAATGCATCGTGGGCCAACGATGCGTTCCTTGCTAGTACATTGTCCTCTGGAGCGGGCTTTCCCAGTTCTGGACCTACCAGTCGTCGATCTGCTTCCCATTTCGGCGCTATCGGGCAGACTCCATCTTATGGACAGGGCGGGTGATTCACACGAGATTCCTTGGTTTGTGGATTGACAACAAGACTAGAGGCTGCGGGACGCAATCACAACCCCCTTTAGCATCATTAAAGCCGGGAGCGGGCGAATCGTCCGATTCTGATTCGGAGGGCAAACGACAATCTTGCTGACGATCATGTACACTGTTTTCTCCCTCAGTCAAGCTCCGGTAATACGCTGGGACAATTTGTCGGCTATTGAGCAGCTCCGCAATGCACAACACGACTGTTGCTGTTATCTCACACAGGCTGGCTAGATCATGCAATCACTATTCTATCCCACCGTCTAGCAATGGTGGTTAGGGCTTCCCGTCGATGGCACCGAACCTCGGGTCTGCTGAGAAACAGACGGTTGATTTCAGAAAAGACCTTTGGTGGCTTTTTCATGCTGACGCAGACGGCTACTTCTTAGAATAATAACGAGCCATGCTATCATTTGTGCTTCTTCGAGTGCTTTCAAAATTGTGGCAATTGATTAGCTTCCCCTTTGCCGTTTCTTAGGAGAGGGCTATATGAAATTTCAATGCGAACACGTCAAATTCTATCACATCCAGGTCAACAGGGGACTTGAATTTATGGTTAATTTCTAACTCTTCAAATTTGAGTATATATAAGACCGAAAGGTCCGTTCATTACATCGTTGTTGAGAACGTCATCAGCCTGCGGCTTCCGTGTACTAACGGTACCATAACTCGTAAACCTGCGCGGTGTTTGTACGCAGTCTTTGGAAGAAGTGATCATGCGAAGAACAAAAAGGTCTAAGACGTTAAGTCAAGGACAACTGGGTATAGAGGGTTGAATCATCCAGGAATATTTTTATGCTGCAAGCTCGCAATAGCCTCTTATGGCTTGCCGGGCGTCCATGTTAGAAGTGGTTGGTATTCTATGAGCGGTTGGGGGTGTAGGTCTTCTTGGGGAAGGGGAAACTATATGGCAAAAGTCATGATGTTAGTCGTTATTCATTGAAATGATTCTTGCACTGTTGTCCACCAGCACAATGGGCTGGAGGCAGCTTGGAAACGGACGCTGGCCCTCGACAGTATGGCCCATCTTCGACAAGTATTTCGGCACAAAAGAAAGATGAATGAGTAACTTACGAAGGTCCCAGCTCCTGAATGCTCAGGCTGGCGAGCCACTGGCCCATATCCATGCTCTCCTCAAGAGACTTGTTCAGAACAACACCGGCGCAGAAGCCACCAGCGAACGCATCACTACGAACAACAACCATCAGCACAAAAATCCTCTATTGACCATTGGCAGAATGGCCGATGACAACTTACCCAGCGCCGTTGGTGTCGTTGATGCTGCTCTTGGGGATCTCGTGCACAGGGAACTCCTTGATCTCAACCTCGCCGTCCGGCTTGACGGTAGCAGTAACCGTGGGCAGAGTGCCTTGGGTGACAATAGCAACTCTGGGACGGCTGGTGTTCTTCTTGGGAAGCTGAGCGAGCTTCTTGGCAATTTCGACGACATCATCCGTACCCCATTCGTGGCTCTCGGAGTAGGCGCGAGCCTCTGTCTCGTTGCAGAAAGTGTAGTCGGTGTAGGGCAGGACGCTGTCAAGCTGGTCCTTGAAGAACTGAGGAATGAAGGGGGCAGAAAGAGAAAGCATGAAGACCTGAATTATGAAACGTCAACTTCAATCGAGAAGGATGCAGAAGGAGGGTCAGCTTGCTCACCTTGTTCTTGGCAGCAGCCTCCTCAGCCAGGGCCAGAATGGCAGGAACGCTGACTGTCAGGTGGTATCCACCGACATAGTAGTACTGAGCCTTCTCGACAAGAGACCAGACGTGAGGCTGCTTCAAGTGGTCGACCTTGTACTCGTTTGCCGCAGCGAGGTGAGTGCACATGCTGCGGTTGTGACCAGTGATAATGACGCCGCACTTGCCGGTGGGCTGGACATCGTCCACACGGTACTCAGTATGGACACCAGCTTTGTTGCAGGCATCCTTGAGGATATCCGCGTACTTGTCTTTACCGACACAGCCAATGTACATGACAGAGTTCTCGGGGAGAATGTACTGTTAGGTGATATCCTCGATCAGCAATGGCCCCAGATTGAAGAAAGGTGATCTACACCTAGGCATACCTGGGCACCACGGGCGGTGTTCTGGGCAGCACCACCAGCAATCAGCTTGGCATCACGGCTAAGGAGCTCATCGTAGAGTCCCATGTGCTTATCCTCCGCAAGGATGGCATCGTTGTCCTTCAGACCGTACTTTTCCAGAAGAGCGGCATCACTGTGCAAGGTTCAGTCAGTTGATATCCAATTGGCTCAGAGTTTCCGATGTCGTTCATCAGTGACGTACCCGACGGCTTGGATATCTAAGACCCTTCAGTGTCAGCATAATCAATCAACGTCCATCACATAGTTGTTGTCCGTTGTCAGAGATGTGAGGTCAAGTAACACGCACCCAGAAGAGGGTTCTCCAAGCACAGAAGAGGATATCCCTGAGCAGCAGCCATTTTTTCCAGTTGCAATTGACGATACGATACTTATAAAGGGAAAATGTAGGAAGCGTAGTGACGAGAAGTGAGAAGAGAAAGAGACAAGTAGGAGAGAGAAACAATAATAGGCGGGGCGTTTGAGGAGGGGCAGAAGCTAGGTGGAAAGGTTTCCGGTATGTAATGCAGTGAGATCGGCGGCCGGCTGCCAGTTGCCCCGTCCAGGCGGTCCTTATGATTTGCATAACCTCGAAAGTCCGGTGTACGGTGTACCTATACAAGAACAACCTCACCTCCCAATACCCACACCTACACAACTCGCTCAAAATACTCATTTGTATAGCATCAGTGACCCTCTCAAAATGACCGATCCAGCTTTAGAACTAGCAGAAACCATCCAAGCCGCCTCCATCAAGCGGGATCCATCCCCGAGACACGACATCAATCCTTCAACCTCCGCCTCGGAGAAGCGACCAGTTACACAACGAGCTTCCTCCGAAGCTGGCAGCATCCCTTCGGATATTGTAGACCCCAGTCGCATGATTAGGCCCGTTTCGCGCCGTCATACTCTTCCTCCTTTGCCCGATTTGCGGTTCGAGCAGAGCTATCTCGCCAGCTTGCGAGGTGCCGATACATGGGGCCGAGTTGCATGGATTACCATTCGGGACCAGGTATGGATACTCGACAATGAGTTGAGAGATGTTGTTGTCGCTATGTGAATCGAAAAGCTGGGATACTGATGCAATGGGTTGCAAAATCACAGGTCCTTCTACCACTCATGCAGGGTACTCTTTGGACTCTTGCTCTTTCTGGCTGGCGTTACTGGAACCGCACAGCTTCTCTCAGTGGCCAGACGCTCGGTAGCAGACTACGAAGGTGGTGGTACGAAGTCAATAATTGGAAGCTTCCTCCCCTGGGTACAACAAGGGACCCTCGACTTGCCTCCAAGGTCGAAGACGTAAGTGCACATCTTTCAATGTCGTTAAGCAAGACATTGGCTCGAGATATACCTATTTGAGAGATACGGTTCAAGAATCAAGTCGATCTGCAGCTGACGTTCTCGGAGTTCTTACAGTTCTACACGGCGCAATTCTCGAATGCGGGTGCAGACTAAGGTCTGTCTGATTCATTTTTCTATATCGGAACGGGGTTCGCATTGCATTATTGGAGTTAGGGATTTGGCGTTCTTTTCTTCTTCGTTGTCAATGTCTTCATATTGCATAGCATAGTCGATATGCAAGCAAAAAGTCGAACCATACTTCGCGATTTTCATCTAACCATTAATGCGTCTCATTCCGCCTTGAAAATAGTATACATTTAGCGTAGGTAGAAGGGTTTGAATCAGCAGTAGTCATTGCGCCTGGATCAGCGGCAGAGTTCTGGGCTCGGTGTGACATGTCCCCTGAGCCTCAAATATAATCATCCTGCTATAAGAACCATTGCGAGCGAACTCAGGTCAGATGGACCTCTGAACGTAAACACACCGCTCAACGAAAAAGCCTGATAAACTCTCGATGGAAACAAACTCCTGTTTTGCCTGAATTTGTATAATTTTGTCGAAGCGGCAACACTGCGCCACAGGACACTGTTTGAGTGTCAGCTAAAGACATCCGCTTTTGGTAAGAAACTTGAAGTAGCTGTCATTCGAGAAATCTCATCCCGTCTCATTTGGAGCGTGGATGGGAGCTAGTTGATTTGGCGACAAGTCGGTTCCGGAAGGCTGTTCAGCACCCTCACGCGTCTCCCGCTTTTGACCGTTAAGCTCATTCAGCGGATTGACCTTCTGCTCACCAGCAGCTGTGTTGATCAGCACAACGCTGGGCACTTTCCCTGCATCCACAGTCGGGGCTTGCGCCTGTGCCGTACCCGTCTGTCTGTTGGTCTCAGAGTTTGGCACCTGACTCGTAGGCTGAGTCTCAGGGGCCATTGACGAGTCTGCTGTTTCTACGTGCGCACTCTGAGTTTTCTCCGCTGATAGCTCCTCGACAAGCTCTTGAGGGCTGCTTGGTAGTTTTCCCTTACCGTATCTGAGCTGCACCACGAGACTCCGATCCTGTCCGTTGATGACCGACTCGTCTCCGCTGAAATCGCCTTCATCGTCGCCTTCGAAATCATTGTCTTCCTCTTCCTCGCCACCCTGCCACTCGTTTCCACTGGAGTGACCAGCATCCGACTCATCCTCCACATTGTCCATGTTGTAGTCCATATAGCCATTTGCTCTGGTCGCCCGAGACCTTTGGGGTCTTCCGGTATCTTCAGCTTCCTCGCCGCGCTGGCCACTAAGGAGGCTCTCGCCATACAGGCCACCCGCGCGTGCACGTATCTGCCTACCACTTGCTGTATATCTGGGGCCCGCATGTTCTGCCGGGGTTGAAATTCCGGAAGCATTCCGTGTCGATCGTCTTGTTGAGGGAAACTCGTCGGAAAAGATATCCTCGTCATCTGAATATGTGTACTTGAGCTTCTTGCCACGAGTCCGGCCTTCGTACAGTGAAAATCCGGGCTCTGGTCGAGAGAAGGCGGCTTTGCGGGCAAGGCGATAGTCCCGTCTTTTGCGTTTCTTGCACATTGTTAGTAAAAGTTAGAGCACAGGCGGCGATCGCAGCTTACCTCCTCTGAGCCCTCAAAACGAGGTATGGCATTCTTGATCCTCTCGCTCAGCTTTTTCGCATGTATGCTCTTCTCTTCATCCAGTTTGTCTGCGATAGCCTTCATCTCGGGTATACTCCCGGCCACACTCCACCACGTAACGTTCTTAAGGGCCGGGTTGCTCTCACGATATAACCTGAAATGTGTATCATCCAAACCCTCGACCAGCCAGTACCGACGCTTCAGGCCGTCACGGCCCCACGGTTGAACTGAAAGCGGTTGGTTCAGATCGTCCTCATGGCGGGCTTGCTTGTAGGATTCTTTGATCTTGGCTTGAACGGCTTCGGACGAAGAAAGGGACCAGAGAATCAGCGACTTCAACAAGGTCAACTATTCGAATTATCAGTGCCTTGGACTTGTAATGAATTATCCGCATCGCATTGGCATACGCGTTCTTCGGGTGACATTGTTGCAAAGGTGCGACCTCCATGTAGGGGGTTCTTTCCTTGCCAAGCCTTAGGCCATTGAGAGACATGCGTTTGAATTGCCTCTTCAAGAGGTCGCTGGTAGTGGGCTCGGCTGTGAATCAGTGCGGAAGAGTTAGTCTTCTATCTGGTCGTAAAAGCTTTGCACAAGCATAGGGAATGAATGATATGATAGCCCTCTGATAGTGTGGGGACCAGGTGCTCATACTCAACATCCTTCTTCCGATTTAGCACTAGACCGAGCAATGCACACAATAGCCTTTCAATGTAATCTCCTGGTGGAAGCTCCACGACACCTCTCTCGATGTCCTGGGGTCCAAAGTGTGGCGTCGATCGCGGGAAGACCTCATGAAAACGCGCGCGGAACATCACAATAAACTATAAAGTTGCGACAAGTTAGCAAAGAGGCTGTAGCAGATAGTTTGACGCGTCTGACTGTCGCTCGGAGCTTCTGTAAGCTTGAGCGAATGTCTAAACTTACTGCAATGTCAGGATTATCAGCTAGAACATATTCATGGGGTGGTGAGGGCTCCCGTTTCGGCAGCGGAGACTCGGATTCCTTCTTGAAGTACTTGGTGATACCAACAGGCTTATCGAGAGCCATAGGACCGACTTCATCTTCTGAAGGAGGCGCTGACGACAGCGATGAGAGATCTGAGTCGGAAAGAGACATGTTCGACATGGTTGGGGTGCTGTCTCGATGTGATACATTCGAGAACGAGGTGACGGTGGACAAGTCCGCGCCGCGAAGAAGTTCCCTTACTGACGCTACTTGGTTGAAGCGCGGCTTCCACGCGCCTGGACTATCCGGCATTATCAATGGTGCAGTACCAGTTAATATCAGGCGGTGACTAGTTTCCGGTCAGGAACACTCAATCTCTTATGAATTCACTCAAAGATAGCTATAAAGGCATAGATTCTAGGCACACCATTCATTCAAGCACGCAACTGACACTAGGGGATTGAGAAACTGGAGCAGATTATGTGCGTCATCAAAGGGGTGTTCCCTGGGATTGAGCATCAACTTGCAGCCAGGTAGGTCTACACTCCATGAAAAGACAACAAAAACCTACGACAAGCGAAGATCGACTGAAGACCATCATAAGTTTGATCAATCATGGCCACTCCGAGCATCACAAGAGGAGATGTTGATGATGTACTAGGGCGGGAAAACAACAGACATGCTCCAAACACATCTAGTCCTTTTCCCTCCGAAAAGCATACTAGATGCGGACATTCTTGTCTTCTCATCAAAAGACTGGACAGACTTTCTGAAGGCACCGAAATCTTCAAGGTTTGAGATGCATCGTGGCAAGTCTCAGCTGCTTGGGCCTGTCGATGACAGGAGCCCATCGGTATGCCCCATTAGCTCCGTAATGGCGGCACAGTACCGAATCTTGACTGAGAGTTGTGCCTGAAAGGTACTGTCAATAATCTGATATCATCCACGAAATTTGAGGAATAAATGAGGGGTTCGAAGCAGGATTCGCCGTCTCATTGAAGCTCAGCTTACTCCGGTACCCAAGAACCAAACATATTGCCGTCAGAAATAAGCGTAAATTCATCTTCATCATGAATCCTTCGGAGACGAATTCTCATGCAGTATTTAAGCAAGCACATTAGGCCAGGGGTTGCTTAAGCAGAATTGTAGAAGACTGCACCATACTCCAATAGTATATCGAGGGATTGATGTCAGCCTCTATCAGACGAGTCCATCTCGCCTCTTATGGAATGAAGAGCGATGGCCACGAAGGCTGGACGTCTAGAAGGTCCATTATCCCATAAGTTCGAAGAAAAGGCAGCAAGTGATGATTTGTACTTGAGGGCTATCCACACGTAGGTCATGACCGCACGTTATCCGCGCGCAAATCACAGCCGCGCCAGGGCCCAAAATGGAGCTAGCGCCAACTCGGTTAGATTAGCGATTTCGCCCTAAAGCCCACACAGCCCATCCTCCGACGAATTCTCAACACCAACCCGACAAGCCCATTTTCGATTTGAGGTATGAGCAATTGATAAACTCCCACCAACGGTCGCAGGCGGTCTTTCTTTTGAATTCTAACGCACAGGTTTCAACATATAGAAAGTCGCTATGGGTCGTGTGATCCGCAATCAGAGGAAGGGTCGTGGATCCATTTTCAGTGAGTGCGACCGCAATGAAATGAATATTCCTGCACGCGAGAGTTTGCAGGAACCTTTTCACTCGAGAATCCAGAAATGCTGATTGAAATCTTTCTACGCCTTCAGCGGCTCACACCCGTCTCAACAAGGCTCCTGCCCAGTTCCGCACGCTCGACTTCGCTGAGCGCCATGGATATGTCAGGGGTGTTGTGAAGGAGATCATCCACGACCCCGGCCGTGGTGCTCCTCTCGCTAGGGTCCAGTTCCGTCACCCTTACAAGTTCAAGATGGTTACCGAGACCTTCATCGCCAACGAGGGCATGTACACTGGCCAATTCATCTACGCCGGAAAGAACGCTGCCCTGACCGTCGGCAACATCCTCCCCCTCGCCTCCGTTCCTGAGGGTACCGTCGTTACCAACGTCGAGGAGAAGGCTGGTGACCGTGGTGCTCTCGGTCGTACCTCCGGAAACTACGTTACCGTTATCGGCCACAACCCTGAGGAGGGCAAGACCAGAATCAAGCTCCCCAGTGGTGCCAAGAAGGTTGTGAAGAGCTCCGCTCGTGGTATGGTCGGTATCGTCGCTGGTGGCGGTCGTACCGACAAGCCTCTGCTCAGTATGTTCCTCCGACTCGCAAGCTTCCGTCCAGTGTGGAAAGAGTATGAAGGGCTTCGTTGCTAACGAGTATCTACAGAGGCTTCTCGTGCCAAGCACAAGTTCGCTGTCAAGCGCAACTCTTGGCCCAAGACTCGTGGTGTTGCCATGAACCCCGTCGATCACGTAAGATTTGCCCTTCACTTCTATTATTTTTTCTCGAACAATACCTGACATGGATTCTCTCTACAGCCTCACGGTGGTGGTAACCACCAGCACATCGGTAAGGCCTCGACCATCTCTCGCTACGCCGCCCACGGTCAAAAAGCCGGTCTTATTGCTGCCCGGAGAACTGGTCTGCTCCGTGGTACCCAGAAGACCAAGGAATAAATGTGATCTTGTGCGGAGTTTTGTTCTTTTTGACGGGTTGAAAATGCTCTTCTGCTATGAGACATATGTACTTAGGCGACTGCGGATTACCTTCCACACGTCCTTAGCGAATTGAGGTTGTGGCCAAAAAAAATTCCTTCATAATGACCGAAAGATCGGAACGAAAATGGGTTCGAATCCAATGTCTCGGGATGCATTACATGACATATGTCTCAGGAAGAGCGGAAGAAACCCTCGTGGTAATCAATGAAAATTCCCTTTTTCTCGTTCATTCGGCATTCACCTCGTGTAGCATCAGGCCCCTAGAGTCTGTAAACACTTAACCTTCAGGGCGGAGCAGACGGCTTATAGACTACCTACAGTTGCTGCATTGCTACCAGCACGGAAGTCATGGCCTTTTTCAGGCTACTCTTTAACTGTGCTTTGATGCGAATTTGACCTCATCCAACGTTTTGTATGCGAGATATAAAGTCAAATTTCACTCGACTCCCGTTATGTTCCGCCCCCCGACTTGTCGATATTCTATAATAACCAGCCCTTGCATTCCTCCTTCCCAAACGATCAATTGTGTACTATCTCACTGATTCTATCGGGTTAGAGATGAGGGAGGTCGGATACCTACCTAGTAGTTGATTTGGATTCCATTAACTTAGGGAAACGAGGTTCTGCTCCCAAAGTGACCAATCAGCGGCGCGGGCTGCACAAAAGAGGGTTGTCGTTTTCAACAAGCTGCCAAAATTCCATAACCCATCATCAATTTCTCGGTTTGCTCTTCATCTCATGTTTTTTTTTCAGAATACCTCAAAATGCATGTGGTCGATAATTCAAATGACGCCCCGCAAAAGATACTTCCGCTGGCCAGAGCCGCTAGACCATCCACATCTGCTGCTGCGCGTTGGCAGGCAGTTGTGAACCGCGATGCCACGGCTAATACATTCGTCTACGCCGTCCTGACGACAAAAATATACTGCCGCCCATCCTGTCCAGCTCGTCTTGCCCGCCGGGCCAATGTCAGATTCTACGACACGCCCTCACAGGCAGAATCAGCAGGGTTCAGGCCTTGTAAGCGCTGCAAACCGGAAACACACTGCGCGGCAAATCCACAGGTCCAGTTGATACAAAAGGCTTGTGAAACCATCAATTCGGAAGCGCTGAAGGGCTGCAAACCGACGCTTCAAAAGCTGGCCGGCGAGGCCAACCTGACGCCCAGTCATTTCCATCGCATTTTCAAAAAGGTCATGGGCGTGACGCCGGGGCAGTACGCAGCTGCTGCTCTGGATTGTCATAATCAAAATGCGTCGGTCGACTCTGGTCAGGATGAAAATTCGAGTGTGAACCGGCAGCTTTATGACGATGGCGTCTGCCATGATCCTTGCCCATTTGGCGGTTTGAATGATTCCCTTGCTTCAACCACGAACGATGCTGTTCTATGGAATGAATTTGATGCTATGTTAGCTGTAGAGAACGAGTATATTCTGTGGCCGGAGGAAGTACAGTAGGTATCAAGAGCGTTCTTTTCAACCAATCTTACAGTGAACTCTACATCTGCTTTCAGCCTTCAGTGCTAGGAAGCCCTGAGGCGGTACTCGTTTGAGAGAGACGGTCGTTCTATAGTTAAAACTGAATGAGTTAGAGCTTGGCTCCTTATCATGAATCCTGACATATGGTGAATGATGCATCAGTCAGGTGAAAAGGTGCTTGAGGTCTGCAAAATACCACTGGATATGCGGGAAAGTCATTCTAAGTGCAATCACCAACTGAGTATTCCCTGTGCGCTGTATGCTTTATTTCTTAGACGTTTGACAGCATTAGAGCGCTTGGTCGATGACTACTTTGCGCTGAGGTCAGATGATGGTTGAAAGGTTGTGTGTTGGCATACAGAGTAGACACTGTGTGGACTTCACTCTATTAATGGTTTAGAATTTGATATATATCGACGGACTTTTCTAGTGAGAACGCACATGGTATATAACATATAACATATTATTATTATTGAGTTCCTTGAACGATGCATTACAGCCTTCCCAACCTCACAGTGCTTAATCAGGTGCAAGCCAACAATCATATATTTGCGCTCCAATGTTGGACATATTTTCTGTTCTTCTACCTGCAGTCTCCTGGTTTGCATGAAAAATTACAAAAAAAAAAAAAAAAAAAAAAAAAAAAAAAGAGGGAGTTCAAGCAATTGAAGCCATTAACTCCTCAAGGCTCAATTCTATCAACTTAGAGTATATAATAACTCGAACTGTATATTATTGCAGTCTCTCCCTTAGATAAGTCATGAGGCATACGGAGGATAGTTTCCATGATCTTGTTCTGTAAATAGTATTGTGGCAAAGCTTCACCCACTCTTGAACGTTTGAAATTGCGATCCGCCAGTAAGGGACTGTCGTCCTCGACAATGTCCCACCAGCGGCCCACCAACGCGTGTCACTCAAGGTACTCCGTAGATGATTGTCGCTTGTATAGATACGATTACGATCAACAATGCCTAACAGTACAAGACTCCAGGCTACCCAAGAAGCTATGTTTCAGATAACCAGGTTTCAGGAGTCTCAGATATCATTATGATGATATCTGACCATTTCATTCGGAGTACATGATGGACCACATACATCACTTTACCCCTATTAGTTGGTCGACCGCGGAGTATTTGGTATCACCATATCAACTCCGCTGGTCATCCACTCTGTGAGAATGTCTGAGACTGGACGAGACAAATCCTGCCAAGAGAAGAAACAGAACTGGCAGGTGGGGAGGGAAGTATTTCGCTGATTTGTTCTGGACTCCTCCAGGCTGGAGTTTGTACCTGGACGGTGGCGCATTCAGACGCCTGCGATTGGCACTTTTGTCGCAGACTCATGATACCATTCCTCGAACACCATGGGGCATTAAATTCAATCAATCAATTTACATTTTGCTCCTAGCGAATAATGATTGTAGGGGATAGAGATGTTTATTTAGATTGATTAAAAATTGATAATAACATTCACTTAACCCCGTTGGAAAGTGCTCTGCTCTCTATTAATTCCGAAGCATCCCACCCACATAGACTGTTCTGATTTCTACCTTCCCAACCTCCTGTCCTTCTGCCCAGAAATCAGTACTATTGCCTTTCACTCAGTGTGAATATATATGCCTTACACTCACTGAATGTTGCCATCAATCAATCCATGATTCTGGGACTATTCCAGTTGCTATCTCTCATTGCACAGTCAATAACCAGAACAGACTTACCCCTGTACGTCCGCAATCGCCGCATTCGGTTCCTCCCTAGACTTGAAGGAAGCACCATTCGTTCCCCCATCGACTTATCCTCCTCCATCGTAACGCTTCGTCTACACCTATCCTTATCACAAAGACAGCTAAGATGAACGTTAATAAAAAGTTCGATCGCTTCAAGCAATGGGCAGGAGAGAGAATGGGTGGTGAAGTCAAGACTAATCTCTCCGACGACTTTAAAGCCCTGGAGACTGAAATGAACGTGAAACATGAAGGTGGGCAAGATTTACCTTGCTTTCTATGGCACACGATTTTCTCATGTTGCGCTGACCCTATTCATCTATCGCTCTCCAGGGGTCGATCGTATCCATAAATCCTTGATTGCATATGTCAAGTCCATCTCGAAGCGCAACGAAGGAGACGACAGGGAGAAAACGCTGCCTATAGCTCATTTGGGTGGCAGTATGGTCAGTCATGGGGAGGATTTCGATGCCAATTCCGAATATGGACGTTGTTTGACGAGTAAGCGAACGCTCTACTGCTGTTGCTTAACAAGCGATTGGTTATCTGACGTCGGTTTTTCTGCCGCATAGTGTTTGGAAGGGCAGAAGAGCGGATTGCCCGTGTGCAGGAATCCTATATCTCACAGGCCAATGCGACCTATCTCGAGTCCCTTGAACGATCCCTAGCCCAGATGAAAGAATACCAGGTATGGTTTCGCTCTATACGAGTATCCATTACGAAACCCAAATCCTCTAACGACTCGAGCAGGCTGCCCGCAAGAAGCTTGACAGCCGACGATTGGCCTACGATACGTCACTTTCTAAGATGCAGAAAGCGAAGAAAGAGGACTTTCGCGTTGAAGAAGAATTGCGTACTCAGAAGGTCAAGTATGAAGAGGCCAATGAGGATGTTTTCAGGCGGATGTATGATATCAAGGATGCGGAGGTAGAGGGTGTTGCGGATTTGGCTGCATTCCTTGAAGCGCAGCTCAATTACCACGAACGGTGCCGGGAAGTACTTCTCCAACTCAAGAATGAATGGCCTGCAGAGTGAGTCAAAACTGCTCGCACACAAATTTGCTTCAAGCTGACTTGGGTCACAGCCAATTCCAATCGCAAACGCCAAATGGTCGCCGCACCGGGCGTGCTCGTTCCAATACTGCACATTCCTATCAAGAACGCTACGAGCCGCTGCATGAGGAGCCCACCAACGGTGTTAGTCCCCGGCCAATCATCAGGTCGGACCGTCACCCTTCATCTGGACCCCCAACTCTTCCCCTGAGAGAACCCTACCCAGCTGAGACGCCTTTCCAGCGACCTGGTTTGAACCGCACTTCGACTTTCGAGGGCCCTTCGCAGTTGCGGCAGCTGCAGCCGTCTGGTTCATCTTCGTGGCAATCACGAGCGACCAGTGAAAATTTCATCTCCCGCAGGGATAGCTCTCAACCTCGGCCTGTCAGCATGATGCCAGATAATTCGTATACTGATCCTTACGAGGAATCCACCGCACAGGTTAATGCCCATTCCGACGTGTTCTACCAGGGACGCTCAAGCTCTCCTTCGTACGGGAATACTATTTCCAGAAGAGCTAGCTCGGGGACCTTGAACGGTTCCGCATTCAACAAGAAAGCTCCTCCACCTCCCCCGCCTTCGCGAGCAAAGAAGCCGCCTCCGCCGCCCCCGATGAAACGTCCCATGCTGACTGTGGGGGACGTGTAAACAATGCCATGCACTTTTTAGGACTGTTAGGGAATTTTTGGTTGTCGTTCGAAGTACCAACGGAGTCATTCTGCACAGGCGTCGCATTCATTCTGCTCATTAAAAATCTTAACACTTCCATTGCTACGCTGCCGGAAAGCGTTGCGTGGTAGTAGTCGCTCACTCAAATGAGACTGTTGATTTCCAGCTTCATCTTTCAATTGCTTTGTGTATTCGAGGGGACTGAAGACGTTTCATCGCTGCACGGACTGTTTCTCAAGGCCAGCAGCGCCGGAAAGCCGACCTTGTACTGTACAGTGGTATAGCCAGACGCAAACAACCGGGACAAGGGATGGTACCTAAAGTTTATCAGGGTATTTGCTCATATCGATCGTCTTTAATAGTATTTCGTTGGCGCTCTGTATCCTGTAGATAGGTACCTAAGTTACCTAGGTACTATTTGTAGATAAAGTCCATTTATTGTGATTGGCGGCGCATAGTGCCGCCAAGACTGAATGCGGCCGGGTAGCTGAGTCAGCTAGCATCACGTGACAACACACGAAATCTTCTTCCAACGTCTCGCCGCCTGCCTCTCTCTGTTACAGGCACAGGCTGAGCACCGCCAGTTTCCCCGACCAGCACGGAAAGTCGCGACACTTCCGTCCCCTTCATCTCCATTTCATCCATACAGGTCTTCAACGCGCCTTTTTCAGCGCCCGCCCTTCACTTGAGGTCAATTTTTTCCCTTCCACCATCGCATTTGAGCCTCCCCCCACCCTCTTGCTCGCCTTCTCTTGCTCGCCTTCTCTTTGTCGCCTACCGCCCGGTAGTCACCCCGATCCAGGCCAAACATCACAAAACCTATCGCAACGGATTAGATAAAGGTCGCTCTCAGTCGCATTCATCGACGGAAGAAGTTTTCTTTTACTGCACTTCAGCCAAGCCGCGCTCTCGGTCGCTCCACGGGCGCGAATTGTCATTTTCTGTTTCCAGTCCCCTCCCCCTACGTGTCTCTTAACAATTCCGTCGCGGGTTTTGTCGTAGTTCAAGTCGTCCAAGACCGCCCTTGTCCTGCTTATGAAGTAAGACATCGACCACGCGCTTGATTATGGCTTCACTCCAGTCAGCGCCCAATATGGCGGCTGGAAACATGAGCCTGCCGCCAAATTTGACGCAGCAGCATATTCAAGAAGTCCTCCAGGTATGGTGTTTTCACCCCTCTCGCGATCCCTCTCGCGATCCAAAGTAACCAACCTTGGTTATTCTTTCATTCCTTCTTGTCTTCAATATTCAAAAATGATTGCCTCTAACTTCTGTTTAGAAATTCAAGCAGATGCAGGAACAGGGGGTTCGCCACGATGACCCGGAATACCTCAAAGCTCACAACCTACTCGCTGCTGTCCAGCGACAGCAAGTATACCAAAAGCAAAGACAGTTCGCACAGCAGCAACTCCAGGCGCAACATCGTCAACAGCAGCTAAACGGTGCGACTTCGGAGTCTACCGCTGCACATGGTATCAATGGTTAGATCGCCCTACAACATCCTCAAGCCTTGCTTTCCTCTTGACTGACCTTTCTTTTCCCCACTTAGGTCGAAATGGCCCGATCCCCTCTTCAGGTCCCGCTCAAGATGCCTCGACGCCGGCCGGCGCTCAACCACAACCTACCAATCCTGCTGCTGCTGCTGCTCAGAAGGGTGCACCTGTCGCCAGTGGAAGTTTCTCTGCGGAGCAGCTTGCAACTCTCAGAAATCAGATTTTGGCCTTCAAGTTGCTCTCCAAGAACCTCACAATACCACTCCGCGTCCAACAGCAGCTTTTCGCCTCCAAAAAGCCTCAAACCCCGGCTCCCTCAGATGGTATCGCGAGCGCAGAGAGCGTCTTAGAAAGCGTGACTCAGGCCAAGTCGGAGCAGCCCACCCCAGATCCAGTGCCACAGTCCAAGGACTTTTATGAATCCTTCCAGTCACCCTATGAGCTCTTCCCCAAGAGCGTCAAGTTCACTGACCATGCTTCTCGCGCTAACCGCCTCCGCATTCCTGCCCTTATGCCACCGGGCATTGACCTGGAGCAGCTGCGTGAGGACCGTGAGATGATCCTCTACAACAAAATCAATGCGCGAAAGGCTGAGCTCGCTGAGCTTCCTGCAAATCTTGGTGTGTGGGACTCGAGCAAGAGTGATACACCCAGCGGCGATGACTCGCTGAAGCTGAAGGCATTGATCGAGTACAAGATGCTTCATCTTCTGCCCAAGCAGAGGCTTTTCCGCAAACAGATTCAGAATGAAATGTTCCACTTTGATAATCTCGGCATGACTGCCAATCGATCCAGCCACCGTCGCATGAAGAAGCAGTCCCTTCGTGAAGCCCGAATTACTGAGAAGTTGGAGAAACAGCAACGCGATGCTCGCGAAACTCGGGAGAAGAAGAAGCAATACGATCAACTACAAGCCATTTTGAACCATGGTGCCGAGTTGCAGAACGCTGCTAATCAGCAGCGCACGCGTATGCAGAAGCTTGGCCGCATGATGCTTCAGCACCACCAGCACATGGAGCGTGAGGAGCAGAAACGTGTTGAACGTACTGCCAAACAACGTCTTCAGGCTCTAAAGGCCAACGATGAAGAGACTTACATGAAGCTTCTGGGACAGGCCAAAGATTCGCGTATCTCTCACCTCCTTAAACAGACCGATGGCTTCCTCAAACAACTTGCTGCCTCGGTTAGGGAGCAGCAGCGCAGCCAAGCAGAGCGATACGGCGAAGACGAACAGCTCTTCGAAGACGAGGATGAAGAGGAAATCATATCCGATACTGACGAAGAGGACGGCGGTCGACGGAAGATTGACTATTATGCTGTTGCTCACCGCATCAAGGAAGAGGTCACCGAACAGCCTAAGATTCTTGTTGGCGGTACCCTCAAGGAGTACCAGATGAAGGGTCTGCAGTGGATGATTTCGCTCTACAACAACAACCTGAATGGTATTTTGGCAGACGAGATGGGTCTTGGAAAGACTATTCAAACCATCAGCTTGATCACATACATCATTGAGAAGAAAAAGAACAACGGCCCCTTCTTGGTTATCGTGCCTCTCAGTACTCTGACAAACTGGAATCTGGAATTCGAAAAGTGGGCGCCTGCTGTCTCCAGGGTTGTTTACAAGGGGCCCCCCAATGCGCGCAAACAGCAGCAGCAGCAAATCCGCTGGGGTAACTTCCAAGTGCTGTTGACCACTTACGAATACATTATCAAGGACCGCCCAGTTTTGAGCAAGATCAAGTGGACACACATGATTGTTGACGAAGGTCACCGTATGAAGAACACACAGTCTAAGCTGAGCAGCACTCTATCTCAGTACTACACCAGCCGTTATCGTCTGATTTTGACTGGTACCCCCTTGCAAAATAACCTTCCCGAGTTGTGGGCGCTGCTTAACTTCGTCTTGCCAAACATCTTCAAATCGGTCAAATCGTTCGATGAGTGGTTCAACACGCCCTTTGCAAATACTGGAGGTCAGGACCGCATGGAACTATCCGAAGAAGAACAGCTGCTGGTCATTCGTCGTTTGCACAAGGTTCTTCGGCCCTTCCTGCTTAGACGTCTGAAGAAAGATGTCGAGAAGGATCTGCCTGATAAGCAAGAACGTGTCATCAAATGTCGCTTTTCTGCTCTGCAAGCGAGGCTATACAAACAGCTTGTCACGCACAATAAGATGGTTGTCAGTGACGGCAAAGGAGGCAAGACTGGCATGCGTGGTTTGAGCAACATGCTGATGCAGTTGAGAAAATTGTGCAACCATCCATTTGTTTTCGAGCCCGTTGAGGATCAAATGAATCCTGGACGTGGAACCAACGATCTCATCTGGCGAACCGCAGGCAAATTTGAACTTTTGGATAGGATTCTCCCGAAGTTCAGGGCCACCGGTCACCGCGTGTTGATGTTCTTCCAGATGACCCAGATCATGAACATCATGGAGGATTTCCTTCGCCTTCGGGGTATGAAATATCTCCGTCTTGATGGTTCAACCAAGTCCGATGATCGTTCGGACCTGCTGAAGTTGTTCAATGCGCCGGGCTCGGATTATTTCTGTTTCTTGCTCTCGACGCGTGCCGGTGGTCTTGGTCTCAATCTGCAGACTGCAGACACTGTCATCATCTTCGATTCAGACTGGAATCCCCACCAAGATTTGCAAGCTCAGGATCGTGCTCACCGTATCGGTCAGAAGAACGAGGTTCGCATCTTGCGTCTGATCAGCTCGAATTCAGTTGAAGAGAAGATTCTTGAACGTGCGCAGTTCAAGCTTGACATGGATGGCAAGGTCATCCAGGCTGGAAAGTTTGACAACAAGTCCACAAACGAAGAGCGGGATGCTCTCCTTCGAACGCTACTTGAAACCGCGGAGGCTGCTGACCAGCTTGGTGAGCAAGACGAAATGGACGACGATGACCTAAACGACATCATGGCTCGCTCTGATGACGAGCTGATTATGTTCCAACGCATTGATAAGGAACGTCAGAAGAACGATGCATATGGTCCTGGTCATCGGTTTCCCCGTCTTATGGGAGAAGAAGAACTCCCGGATATTTACCTTGCCGACGAAAACCCCGTTCAAGAAGAAGTTGAAAATGAGGTAACCGGTCGTGGAGCCCGTGAACGCAAAATTACCCGCTACGACGATGGTCTTACCGAAGAGCAGTGGCTCATGGCCGTGGATGCCGAAGATGACACGATCGAGGATGCTATCGCCCGGAAAGAGGCGAGAGTTGAGCGTCGCCGCGTCAATAAGGAGAAGCGTCAGAAGAGAGCCATGGGCGCTGATTCCCCCTCGCCAGAGCCATCGCGTGAGAGTTCCGAGACCCCGCAACCCAAGAAGCGTGGCCGCAGGGGTCCTGCGCCTAAACGCAAGGCAGAGGAACCCGTGGAGGAAACCCCGCAACCGAAGCGCAAGAGAGGCAGACAACCGAAACCTGTGGAAACCTTGAGTAGCGAGGACCGGGCCACGCTTCAGCGGATCGTCAACACCGCATACCAGGCGCTGATGGATATGGAACAAGAGCTGCCAGCGGACTCATCCGACAGCGAGGACGGGCCGGTTACCCGCTCGATCATCGAGCCATTCATGAAGCCACCTCCTAAATCACAGTATCCCGACTATTACATGATCATTCAGAACCCAATTGCCATGGAGATGATCAGAAAGAAGATAAACCGCGAGGAATACCAGAATCTGAGGGACTTCCGGAATGACATTCACCTCCTCTGTCAGAATGCCAGGACCTACAACGAAGATGGAAGCATCCTGTTCCAGGATGCCAACGATATTGAAGTAAGTTTTTCTTCTGTCATTCTACTTGCTTTTGTCTTCATAGGTTGCTGACTGCGAGACAGGCGAAATGTGTCGAGGTGTTGAGGAAAGAAACCGAGGACTACCCGCAGTTTGCTGATTTTGACGACTCTCTGTCATCGGCAGGCAATGATCTGTCTGTTCCTCCCGCACCGTCTGCAGGGACGCCTGCCGCTGCCACCCCGACGCAACCAAAGTTGAAACTCACGTTCAATAATAGCAACCGGGATAGTGCGGGAATCGCAAATGGCGGTCCTGACTCGGGAGACGCATGATGCCAACCAATGAGGTTAGGTTTGGTTTATGACAGGGCCTTATTGCCTGCTTTTCACGTCCCCTGACGTTCGCAAGCGGAGATATGGTTTCCATATTTTCCGTCCGATGCTGCCTGCGGTTATTTTTCCTTGGGATTTATTTCTCTAGCTTCCAGTTCTTTCATCTTCATATCCCCCTTCAGGGGAGGCGTTTTGTGATTCGGTGGCTCGAGACGGATGTTGGTTGATGGCGCAATGCTCTGTCAATACAAGACGAGTGACTCGTCTTGTTTGTTATCTTCTCCTTTTCTTATTCTACCTCTTGTGTTATGCCATATTGAATGTCTCTTGAGGGCGGAAATTGTCCTGCTTCAGTGTCTCTTATTCCAGTTTGTTGACCACATCTGCTCTCCGCAAAGAACAAGGGACCTGTCTTGGAACAACTCGAGGCATTTCTGCTGTAATCGACGATCGATGAGTGTTGGTAGTAAATGGATTTTCCCGATGCTTGGCTCTTCTAGCATTATCTATCATATCGCTGTAGGTAATCTTCCGATCAGTTGCCTCTCGGGCTTCTTCTGGTCGGCTGACTTGTCACCGACTATTCAAAGCCTACAACAAGCGGAAGGCATTTACTGTTGGAGCTGCCCACTTGAAGATGCCCCGTGGCCACGAGGTATTCTCGCCTGATAACTGCCCAGTCAACAATTGCATTGTACTTGGCTTTGGGCATATGTGTCGTATGCACTTGGAATTGATACGTCGCTAGCACTATTCAGATGGGTCTTTTCTCCTTGAGAGTGCAGGGAAACATGAGGCCTCTGCAGCTTAGGAACTGCTTAGGCCATCACTGATCTGGTCTACAAGGGCTTGCTAACATGCTACAAGATGCCTTGCGTAGAGTAAGTTAGCTATCTACTGTTGATATGTAGCAAAAACATTATCAAGATGATTATGGACAGCCTCGCACGTCATCTGCCACTGACCTGCACCCAAGGACTCGACGTCACCCAGTCACGTGACACACCGCACCGTCATGCACTGCCGGGATCCATTCTGCGTCCTTCTCTTAACCGCCAGCTCGACCCTTTCGAATCTCTTGAGCTGTGATAACAATCTCCCCTTCCTGTTTGCTCTTTACTTTCTCAGCTTTATATCCAGTCCGCCTCTCACATACCTTACCACTATCTTTACTACCTTCTGCTTAGCATTAAACCCTTAAAATCCAGCAGAAATGGCCTCTTTCCAGGATCGTGCTCAGCACACCATAGCCCAGCTTGACAAGGAGGTAAGTAGATGGTTATTGTGCGTCAGCTTTGTTAGTGTGTTTGGCGATGATAGACCAGCACGCTTTTTGACTACTTTCACTTCCACATCTTTTGTCCAGTCCTTGCCTTTTCTTTTCTTCGGGATTCCTTTGTTTAGACGGGACATCGAAAATGCAGGGAAATAAGGAAAACCCACTAACCCTTGATTTGTTTGTGCGGTGCTATAGCTCTCCAAGTACCCTGTCCTCAACAACCTGGAGCGCCAGACCTCCGTTCCCAAGGTCTATGTCATCCTCGGCCTGGTCGGTATCTACACCTTCTTGATCTTCTTCAACATCGCTGGCGAGTTCCTCGTCAACTTCGCCGGTTTCCTGATTCCGGGCTACTACTCTCTCAATGCCCTGTTCACGTCTGGCACCGCAGATGATACTCAGGTGAGTCTTCCCGCTGCCTAACCCCCCCATGATTTGATTGACTGAGCGATTGTGGCTGACTGTCTTCTGATCGCTACAGTGGTTGACGGTATGTGCTTGTGAACCTGAACCCCAATGACGCCTTGGAGGCGGAGATGATCTCCCCGCCGCCCGCTAAGGAACGGCCTAGGCTGTTTCATAGCACGTGATGCACCGTCATCAGCAACTGGAGACTGACTCGACCATGTGAATTATAGTATTGGGTTGTTTACGCCTTCCTGACTGTTGTTGAGAGCGCCATCAACGCCGCCTACTGGTTCCGTAAGTTTTTTTTCAGTCTGGTGCTTTTTTCCAAATTGTGGGAGATTTTGCTAATTCGTCAAAACAGCCTTCTACTACATCTTCAAGTTCGTCCTCGTTCTGTGGATGTCTCTCCCCCAGACCAAGTATGCTCTCCTCGGTAGACGCGGTGACTATGAACAACATGCTAACTCGTCATCTACAGCGGTGCTCAAATTGTCTTCCACTCTTTCCTCCAGCCTGTGCTGGGCCGCTTCTTCGCTGGCGGATCCACCTCAGCCAACCTCCGTGCCCAGGCCGATGCCGCCTCCAAGTCGCAGTAAATGCATCGCTGAGAATCGGTATTAGCATATAGAGTCTCTCGCGGCTTGCGGAGGACAAGCCGCGAGAGAAGACGTCAATTTTTGCCTTGCCAGGCCGAAGGCCTGCACGGCGCAATCCGAAAGTCGAGTTGTCGGAGTGAGCGAAAATAGTGGGGGGCTAAGATTTCGGGGTTGAGTTAGGAGAGCGATGCTGTGGCATTCTACTTCTTGTTTTCTCTTGTCATGATTGGAGTGGTAGAATGGTTGTGGTTGCGTTGAGAAAGGACGGGACATGGCTATGCTTATTCTTGGATGAAATCATATCTAACGACGCGATCATGCCTCTTTGGGTAATTGAGCAGTTTGTTCGTCCATTCCTCATATCGGTCCATTGTTTTCATCCATACCTTCATGATGGTTCTCGAAAAGATTATCATGAAGATACGATGACGTAGGTGATGTACATTTGTATCCGAACGGTAGCCCGCCAAAAGAAAGAGAAAATATTACCACCCAACCGACTCCGCAACTCCAGGCGCGGGGCGACAGTCTATTCGAGAGTCGATCTTGAACCACGCAGGTCCCGTAAACCAGCGGATACCTGCACGGAGATCTGGAGATAAGGAAGGCAAGTCGATACAGTGTCTTAGTACAAGCCGAACCGGTTCTGCCAGCCGTCCGAGCGGGGGTTCAGTACGATTCGATAGGGGAAGGGATTAGAGTCGCTGGTGGTGATGGGCGGAATGTGATCTTTATCCCGGTTGACGACGGCGAGGATCTTCAGCGCGGCTTTTTGGAGCATGTTCTCCATCGCCTTGCGGACTTTGGCTCGTTCTGGACGGGAATAATCAGCCCATACTTTCTCTACCTGTCGCAGTTCACGTCGGTTTTGTAAGTAGATACCTGATTCCGTCCGGGGCGTGGCGATCGTCACGTCTAGATTCCACACCTCCCAGCATACCTCTTCTTCTCCCTTGCCCGCCAGCCCGCTGAACCACGCCCCAGAGCGTTTGCGCTTCTTCTCGTAGAACTCGACCGCGATGCGACCTCGTACGCCCCCGCCGCCTTCATGGGTGCTGGTAGCGGATGTGTGTTGGCGGACCAGGGCGCTGATGCGGGATTCGATCAGGGTCTCGAGCTCGACGTCATCGATGGCGGGGAGGGTGAAGTCAAGGACGTCGAAGGTTGTCGGTCGAATTGATGGGAAGTAACGGTGGAAGAAGATGAGGTTGAGGACGCCTGGTTTGGGACGGAGTGATGTCAGCAGAGCGATGGGCAGGAGTGGTTTCAAGAAAAATGGCGACAATACAACTGCGGTCAGTAGAGGATAGAGGATGTATATGATGATATGGCAAGCCGATATCAGGAGTAGACAAACCTTTTAATACATCCCTCACGGTGGTTGTGTCTGCGAAGATCTCCAGGAAGTACTCTGGAGGGGTCCTGCGGGGCTCCATCCTCGCAGGGTTGTACGGTATCAAGGCGATATATGTCTTAGCACGAACGGTACTGCTTTGCTTCTTAACTGCGAAAGGGAGCAAGCACTAAGCATAAAAGTATGAACGACCCAAGTATGACGGCAAGCTGTTGGTTGGGCCTGTACCACGGAGACCAGTCCCGATTCAATGACCGGATTGAGGGGGAGGGAAAAGGCAGGGCAAGTGGATGGCGGATGGTGGTATGAGAGGGGAAAGACTAAGGTAGGTATGTAGTTATCTGCAGTTGGTAAGTTTCAGGAACAAGATATGCTCAGGTCGAATGTCTTTGAGAGGAAAATAAGCATGATGTGGTCCATGAGAGCAGAGCGTTTGCAGACGATTAAAACGCTTACGAAGGGATGGAGGATCAAAGAGGGAGAGACATCTATACCCAAGGTACAGTGAGCAGTAGAGATGGATACCGGATTGGTCTGTTCCCCGCCGATACAATGCGGGCAACTGATTCCTATCATTGTCTATGTACCTCTCTATAGCGTAGATGAAAGAAATCACATCATCTGATTAATTGATGGAGTAATGTAGCAAGGTATATGAATCATAATACATCATGACCTAGCTGAGGATCGTCGTCGATTCATCCATTCTTGACTGGTACTCGTCCTGGCGCTGTTCCCGTTGTCGGCCGTCAATGTTATCGCTCACTCTAGCCGAGGCCATCTCTCCTCTTGGATTCCCCAACCAACAGCTCCTGTGTCTCGGTTGCTCCAACTGACCTGATTTCTAAACTATAAGACATCCTTTTGATGAATCTTTCTGTTTCCTTGCAATCTCATGATATATAATGAACTATTTTGAATGATTTGACTTTCATTGTTCTTCCATCTCCAGCTCGATCATGATTGGGGCTACAAGGCGCTGGTTCCGACGCAATCGCAAAGGTCTCGCGATCGGGGCCGGCATTATTGGAGCTGGCTATCTCGCAGGACAATATGTGCTGTCTAAAATCACAGAAGCACGGGAGAGGATGAGCAGTGATCGAATCGCCCGGGAAAAGTACGTTACCTTTGAGTTACCCTCGGTCTTTCGGCGAAATGAGATGGACAAAATAATGCATCCGCTCGCGTGCTCGGCTTTGGTGACTGACGTGATGGTGACTGACTGATTCCGTCTAGTTTACGGCGGCGTTTTGAACAGAACCAGACGGACTGTACCTATACTGTTCTGGCGCTCTTGCCGACCGCGGCAGAAGGCATCCTCGAGGCCCTTCCTGTGGAGGAGTTGACGAAAGAATTGCAGAAGAAGCGGGCGGAGAGATTGGCTAGGCTCCAGGCTGGTGAGGGAACTGTGTCGGACATTAGCTCGGTGTCGCCCAGTGTGGCCGATGATGATCGAAGAAGTCTCTCAAGCTTCCAGAGCGATGGGTTTGTCCGCACAAGTCAATTAGGAGAATCAGCCATCGAGGGCGAAGGGCCGGCACGGGTAAAGCGGAACAAGACTCAACTCTGGAACGAGGTCAAGATCACTTGTACGTCTTCTTCTCTCTATACGACTGGCTAAAACGGGCTGGCTAATGTCGAAACTGCAGCTGTCACCAGATCGTTTACTCTCATCTACACCTTGTCGTTACTGACCATTTTCACCCGAATCCAACTCAACCTTCTTGGTCGCCGGAATTATCTATCCAGCGTGATCTCCCTGGCTACCCCCCCTGCAAACGCCTCCACGATCAAACTCGAGGATCATGATGACGATGACCTGACTCAAACCCTGGGAAATGATTTCGAGACAAACCGACGATATCTTGCATTTAGCTGGTGGTTGCTCCATCGTGGCTGGAAGGACCTGATGAACGAGGTCCAGGCTGCGGTCACAGATGCGTTTAGCTCTTTGAACCCCCGGGAAGATATTTCCGTGGGGCGGCTGTCGGAATTGACTCTGGACATCCGCAAGAAGGTGGAAGGCAACACTCCGGAGGATAGAAGGTATGTCCGGCTACAGTCTCGTCATAAGATAAGCTTCATGTGCTGACACACCAGGTATAGAAGCCGAAGATGGCTGTCCTACCTTCTCCCTCCTCGTGAAGAGGAGGAACATTTGTTGGAGGACTCGGGAGTTGCGGGGGTGACCGAACCCTCGACCTCTCAGTCAGCCTCGACTCTGCGGCACCTTCTCGATGAGACGGCCGACCTGATTGAATCGCCAACCTTTGGTCGCGTTCTGCAAGCCCTCAACGATGAATGCTTTGGCTTACTGATGCAAAATTGCATCAAGGAAGCATTCCAGTCGTCACCACAACCGTCCGAAAGCGTACCACAATTATTCACCTCGGTTGCCACAGTTGTCCCGCCGGTGAAGACAGTGGATCTCAAGACGAAGCTCGCAAATGTATTGGCTGTGATGGCACGGCAGGCACATGTCATTGGCAACGGCACAAATCCCCCCAACATGTATCTTACCGCCATGGATCAGAATGTCCGGAATTTGGAGGCCTTCGCAGCCGTCATCTATAGCTCGAACTTTGACTTCCGGCTGCCAGGCGCGGAGCAGAAAGCGGAACAATTCGCTGCAGAAAGAGATCGTCCTGATACGCCTTCCACGCCCCCGGTGATGGTGGACAAGGATGATACCCAAGATTTGAACCACGCTGGTTCAAGCGCAGTAGCTGGGGACCACTCGGCTTTTGAGAAGGCATGGGGGAAGGCAGTGGAGGAGGGGGCGAGCCAGTGAGTTGCTTGAAATGTAGAGGACGGCTTGGCTTCTCGAGTGCCGAATTATCCCTCCCTTAGCCTTCTCGATGGTTCCTTTTCAGCTTATATATCACGCATAGCGTCAATCCTGGAGATTTCAGGCTGTGCTGATTGTATGATTACCGATTGAGTTCAGTCCAGATACCCGGCGAGGGTTTTCAGCGTGCTTGTTGTTCTCTAACACCTGCGTAGATTGTGCATGTCCACTAGACTGGCCATTCGACCATTGAGTTTTCCACAATCATGAACGGGAGTAGCATTGCAAGTTGACAGTAAATGACTCTTTCGCGACGAGTTTATCCGCCACCGCAATGACAATAATGTCCGCCAACCCCTCAGTGTACTTTGGCCATTCGGCGAGGCCGATACTATGTGAAATTGAATGCTTATGATCAGTTTCGTCAATGTTCGGAGCAATAATATGAGGATGAGTGCAATGCAAACTCATCCAGCAGATGCTTCAAGAAGCCAAATCGCAGGTTTTAGCCATGATTCATGGAGGTACGCCCACTTACACTGGATAATTATTATTCACCATTTTGCAAGAGCCAAGTCTGCTGTGGTCCTGGGGGTAAGAATGCGGAGATACTCCAAAGGAAAAGAAAGCTTGGCCGGGGAAATCTGCGGGGAATCATCACTCGGCACAGGATTTGAGATTCGTCAACTGACCAACATGCTCGTGATAGTAGTAGTACTCCATCGATTTGGCTGTTATTTGCATTACTCTCTCCTTCGCAAATAAGCACTATCTCCGCATCGGCATCCGCATCCACACATCGCTTCTCCTGGGCTGCTTGCTGGTGACGCCTTGGCGATGGAGTACAGTAACATCGGCCGCGGTGTCCGATCCCCAAAAGAGGTATTGCAAGTTAACATGGGCTGTTCATTCCCCGAAAATCCTTTTGTTTCCAGACCAGGATCAGATAGTAGATGCGATCTGACAAATAGGAGGTCCGAGTGACCGCTAATTCTCCCTCATTTGCCGTGCTGCCCAAACGATTGACGAGATGCCTCGCTAGTTGAGTCCTTTTAGGCCTCAGAATAGAGGCCCGTCTCTTGTCTTCTTCTTCACTTTTCACCACTGTCTTCTCTTGTTCCTTAAGCTGCTGCTTCAGGTCTTCTCACTGACAGAGGTGTGACTTTTTGTGACTGTTTAGAGTCACTACAATCAACCGTGTCTTCTTTTGTCCTCCCTGTGCGGCAGCCCAAGGTCACATCGTGCATGCTTAGTGAGAAATAAGCACGCATTTCCTTCTGCTCTGCATCTGTTTCTTACTTTGTTTTTCCTTCTGTTGTTTCGACTTTCACTACCAGCCTTTGCCAAGGGGTACATACATTCCGCCCTGAAATCATTAATCATGGCTTTAGGAAGTATGTGTCCTCAACAATCCTTCTCTCCATTTATGAGACATCACTCCCTAGAAAAATAGACCGCTAACCCCCTCATCGGACACATAGGCGTGGTCAAAGCAAATAATGGCAAAATCGAAGGCGAGATCTACACCGAGTCCGCAGACCTCCCTCCCCTCACCACCACTACGGAGCGCAAGTTGATGGCCAAGATTGACTGGCATATCGTACCGTGCTTGTGTGTCATGTACTTGCTCGCCTTTCTGGACCGGTATGCAATCCTCAGCCAGTGAACCCCTGCATGAACTGACCTCTGTAATGCGCCATCGCAGAGTCAACATCAGCAATGCCGCAATTCTCGGACTGCAGAAAGATCTGAACATCGAAAATACCAAGTACAACACCGCTTTGACCATCTTCTTCGTACCGTATGTCTTGTTCGAGATTCCCTCCAACATATTGCTGAAGAAGCTGAAGCCCCATGTGTGGTGTATGTACTTCGCCTTGTCATACGACAAGGAATTGACTGCTGACATACTGCAGTATCATTATGTATGTTCTTATTTGGCTTCGTCACGATCTGTCAAGGACTGGTATCGAGCTGGGGTGGTTTGATGACCACTCGCTGGTTCCTCGGTATTTATCCCACCACAGAATATAAATATACCTATCGGTTTCATGAAACCTAATGTACATGAGCTAGGCATGTTTGAGACGGGAATGTTCCCTGGGTGTAAGTCCGTTTCCTCAGAGACCTATTGCCACTATCAATAACCAATTGCGCCGTGACAGGCTTCTATCTCCTGGGAATGTGGTATAAGCGCAGCGAGGCACAGAAGCGATTCAGCTTCTTCTTCAGCTCTACCACCCTAGCCGGCGCATTTGGTGGTCTTCTCGCCAGTGGTCTTGGAGAAATGGCCG